GGCAAAGGCAAATTTTGCACAGAAGGCAGCTCGCAAGGCATTAGAGCGTCAAGAGAAGGACAGACGTAGCAAGAGTAGAAAATTGAATCGATAGATAGAGTAAGCGCGCGAAGTGCGTCGGTTCTCGCGCGGTTCTCGTCGATTCGTCACCTCCGTATCAGCTCGTATCAGCTCGTACCAGCTCGTACCAGCTGGTCAATACTGTTTACCCATACGATTAACACGTTCGGACATTCGGCTGGTACGTACCAGTACGCTGATACGTATCAGGAAATTCCTGATACGCATTTCAAGCAGTCCTAATTTTTTCGTCGATGGGCGTGCACACGTAGAAAAAAGGGGGAAACCCTAGGAGGGGTAAAAAATTAGCTAAATCGCTCTCGAACTTTTGCAACTTTTTTCGCATTTTCCTATCATTTGGAAGATCGAGCAAAACTGACATCATCTCGTTGCCGCGATTTCACGCAAATTCAGACGGAGAAACTTGCATCGACGTACGGGAAATTTCAACAGCTTTCCAACGGTGTGCGACTCATCCCGATCGGATGCGACGTCGCGTATAATGGGCAATTTTCTAAAAAGTTTCCGAATGGAGGTTAGTAATTACACTTTTACACTGCAAGTTAGTATAATCGGTCGCTCACACCCTAATATACCGTATAGTCTACACGCCAAAAATTGCGGCACTTTTGAAGGCTGGGAACTCCGTAGCTCAGAGGTCGTCGGCAGCTAGCTGCGAGTTTTCTTAAGATGAACACCATCGAAGAGGCGCTTGACTCGTCTGTGGACCAGCTTAGTCAGCTAGAGCTTGCGTATTCGGTCAACTCAACGCAGACGAGACAAATTCTAGCGAAGCGGTCCCAATACGAGCACTTTCTTGCCCGTCGAACCTCCTCAACTGAAAGCGCTTTTTTTGCGTACGCGTCATACGAGCTGGCTCTTGCGAGTACACTAACGTCACGAAACAAGGTAAGGATGGATCTTGTTGCAGCTTAGATTCGCGATTCTGAATATGCTGCTTCATAGAGACAGGACCGCAATAAGGTCAACTCAGTCATATTCAGGCATGTACGAGGGATTCTTGCTAGAGCGGTCCGCGAGCATGTCTGGAGTTTACGTTTGTGGCATATTTTCGTTCGTTTTTGCGAGGAGCATGGCAGCAGTCGGCTCTTGTCGAGGGCGTTGGCACGGGCACTCAGATACCACAGCACGTGTGTCGGGTTATGGTTACGCGCCGCTGCTTTCGAGTTCCAAACAAATGTCAGTTGCTCGGTCTTCATTCATGTCGTCCGATACTGAACTATAAATAGCAAAATATGAATGCCGCGAGAAGTTTATTTCATCGAGCTCTGCGAAGCTGTGATCAAAATCAAGGTATGTTGGTTCTTTGATTGCTCATTCAGCCCATGACTGTTATTAGATATTTGGATAGCTTATTTTCGGCTGGAAATAATGTATGCGAATATGTTGAAAACTAGACAAGACGTGTTAATTTCTGGAAGCCCACGGGAGAGAGGCAATAAGTCAACGAACGAAGTAAAATTTGATGTTGTGCATGTATGTGCTGGTCTTACTGGTGAAGATGAAAAGATAGAATACTAAGGATGTCTCGATAGGGTGCATTGGCACTATGTGTCTTTCAAAAGGCAATCGAGTCCCAGAAAGGCCAAAAAGGTAAAATTGCCTTCAATTTAAATATTCTGTTTTCAACTGTTTTGGAAAAAGATCGTGCCTTTACTATGATGAGGATGTTTGCTGTCGCCACGGATCTGCATAGTGTACGCCGTAGTACTACAACTCTTAAAACGTCTCTAATTCTTTTGACCTTCTCAGCCGAGTCGATTACTCAAGCATATGAGACTATCAGATGAATCATCAACGTCTGTTGCGGCGGTGTTTTTGAACGATGCAAGCAGTCATAACATTCAAAGCTTCAGCAGTTTGCACATGGTATTCTTGCCGCCTGATTGCTGAATATGTATGATTTGGTCTCTTGTAGTTCCTGAAGTTACGCGACCACCACAAAACGATATTTCGACAAATTCGAAACTCGAGTCTCAAGTAAGTGAAACATACTGCTCTCATGAGAAGCATCTAATGTACCTTCCAGCACTACGAAATTTAACTACCTTGCTGAGGCGTGGACAGATCCATCATTTCTCATAAATGGAGTTAGTCGGCGAGATGTATGCCCGTACAACACTTCATTCGTTGCAAAACACTCAAACTTTTCATAGAATGTCGCTATACTTGTTGCAAGGCAGGGTACACTTGACAGGTACTATGAAGTGCTATTGTTCTTTTTAGCGTGATACTTATCTCCGATTTATAGTTATTTGTGCTATGTGTACAATAGACAGCTCAAGCTAGCAATGGTATGAACGTTCTGAGTTTGACATGTATTGAAATTCAATTGAATCATCTTCATGAAAGGAGGTGAACGTACTTTCTCGAGAGCAGGACTATCTTCACAAAGGAGGGACCTTCCGCGCGCTGAATTGTCTGAGTGATGACAGCTTCCAGAGTTGAACCGCATATTCTCTGTGAGCTCACACAGACTAGTTGAACGGTATGTCCGTTTAAACAAGTAACTGATGCGCTTTTCACGAAGTTTCGGTACACAGAGTATAAAATGCCCGTGCTGAAAGTCAATCGTCGAGCACAGCAGGCACGCCGTAGAGTACAGGCGCTGCACCCACAAGGTGTTTTAGCCGGCAGGCGTTTCTGGCGTCTTGTAAACTAGTACTGAAACGATAGAATGTTTTCATATCATCCGTGGAATTCGTACGAGATAGCCAGTCTTGAAGTAATCGTGCTGAGAATCTATCGATATCTACGTCTGTGACATCCCATAGATTAGCTAGTACTGTCGGCGCGCCACAGAGCAAGTACAGCATAGAAATACTTGTGGGTGACAAATTGTCAAAGTATTCGTAAGCTCCACTCGAACATCCCATTAATATCATCACAGAACGAATGCAACTATCCAGAATCGTTTTAATTTTTATGATGTCTTGCCCACCACCGTGTCCAAAATAAAAATAGAAATCTACATCCTGAAAAGCTTTCCGAACTTCGTTTACGGTTGGTGGGGTCCCAATCACACCATCCCAACCTGCTTTTGCTAACAAGGGAGTCAAATACTGTTGTGTTTTCACAAGATCACCAGTTGGATTCAATACATAGAATGCAGAACCAAGGTTCAACTTGCAGAGTGAGTTTTGGGTTGACACACGAGCTGCGTTGGCAACATGAATCGAGGGATTACGATAAACTTGCTGCTCTCCTAGCACACTGAGTGACTCCCACGCAAAACATTTTGTTGTCTCGTCAAGTGAAAGCAGCACCGGACTATACTTTTGTCCGTAACCACCGACTCGCATATGCGAAGAGTTATTTAACTCACCAGATAATTGTGCGCGCACATACGTCACAATTTCAGAAAGATCCAGTTTGCTGCGCCTAACTGCTCCTTGTTCACTTGATACAACTAAGCACGTTGTCATTTCATGCACAGGGTGAAGACTAAGGATCATTAAACTTGCGAATGCGGTGTGAAGTTCCCCATCTGATAGGGAATGAGCACCACTGAGCATCAGAAATGTTAGCTCATATGCAGACGAAGCAAGTTGCAAATTGTCACGTAATGCGATTGCCTTAAGTCGGACCACTACAGCACGTGTAGTGTCCTCGATCAAACCTCTCACCTGATCGCTGGCACGCCCAAGCAAAAGAACTCTCCATGGTCCGAGAATATTTGCATTCATCTGGTCCAGTGATTCATGTAGTCGTGCGTCGAGTAAAATTCGTGTTTCCCACCAGATCAGTTTTGACTCGCGACTGCACGATTCCTCAGGTGTATCATGCTGACGTGCAAGTGTGTCAGCAAACTTTGTAAACACGTCTCTCAGCGCGGGATGTCTGACTCGCACACAGACAACACGCCGATCGATGCCGTCGACGCGAGATATAACGAGTTCATCTTGAACATTCGCAGCTTTCACTGCAGAGTGCACTAGACCGAGCGTCACAACTGGTAATTCCAGTAGATTCTGATGCAAGCAGTGGGCAAGCTGCGGAATCCCCTTCAAACGAGCTACCTCCGCTTGAGAAATTTCGAGATGTTCTAGCGCAATAGACAAAGACGAAACGGTAGGAAAATTAGAAAAACTGCCAAAGCGCAACTTGTACACACGTTCCATGAGATCTTCATCGCCCGTGCATTGTTTTATAATGTTCAGCTTCAACAAAGCTACGTTTTGACTTCTCATTGGCGCGCCAAAGCACGCATGTAAAACACGAACTACCTCGTATACATCACCTTGATCCGAAGAAAGTACGAAAAATAACATTTTTGCATTCAGTTCCCAAAGAACTACGGGAGTGTCACGGCATCTCGACATGAGCTCGAAAAGTTTTTCCTGACACTTTTCCCGCAAAGAAGTGCATTGACTTTGCGTCTGTTGCAAACCAGATGCGTGGGGGATACTTCTTCCTAGATGCAAGTCTACTGAACAATCAACAATGAGTTCACTTGTCAACGTTAGGACTGCCAAGATGGGTTGATATTGGCGACACTTGTTGGCGACATCACGTAGTAATCGGAGAGATTTGCCTCCACCAACAGACTGCAGAGCGGCGTCGTGGCATAATAGCTTTGCATATAGTGAAGTAAACGCACTTCGCCAAGATGCACAACCCTCAAAATTTTCATTTGAGCGCTCCCGCGAGGTAGTTTTGATAGGCGAAGTAAGAGCTTCCTGCGCACACTTCAAAGCTGCTTCGTGCATTTCCACGCGTCTGGTCAAATCGACACAACTCATGCTTTCGATGGAGAACGCAAACGCACTAGCAAACTGTTTCGTTCCCAAGTCGTACTCGCTTTTGCATAATGTTCTGGAAATGTCCAATTTGACGGTGTTTTTGTATTGCTCAAGCTCAGCGTTGCAATCATCAACGTGGTCAAATCTCCTGTACATGTAAGCTTTGCGCAAGTGAATAGCACCTTGAAGCGCGTACGAGCGAATGATTTTTGATAACGACATAGCTTCTTCGAGTGCCGATACGCTTGAAGAAAACATACCCAGCTCGGTACAAACAGCAGCTTTTGTACACAGAGTCGACACGTATGTCCCAAGCACGCAGAAAAATGGAGGTTGTGAACGCACAGCTATTTTCTCGCGGTCATGGACACTCTGATGAGAATGACGACGTGAATGGAGACAAGTACGCAAAGAAGCGATCGATACTTCGATGCATGCAAAAGCTTCACTGAACTTTCCTCTTTCTGCCGCTATGCCAGCCAGAAGCAACATTGAGCGACCTTCATGAAAGGTGGGGCGTTGAAATGTCTGTCTATATCTTGGGATGGAAATAAACAGGCACGGCGATGGGATGGGGGCTAAAAGAATCGATGCCACATGGCTTGTCGTGTCAGGACAGATGAATTGCCTGAACTTGCTCGACAAATAAGTTGTACCAAAAACATTGAACACTTCACAGATTTCCTGCAAGGCTTCTAGCATATTTCGTACTGCATTTGAAACATAGAACTTGATGTTCGACTTGGATCTATGAAGTCTTTCGATATGCTCAAATGATTGCTCAACTATCTTATGAGCTTCACGGTATGCATCTTTGTCTTGCATACTAACCAATGCAAGGGCCGTATGGCAAGAGAATTCGACTGACAGTGCCGTACAGACCAAATTATCCTCCTTCGTTCGTGTACAATATTTACGAGACGTGGTCCGAAAGAAGTCCAAGGTGTCCTTATATTTGCAAAGGACGCATTTTACGTTACCACACTGTTCAATGTCCTGTGGCGGTCGTGGTAGTGCCATTCGAAGCAGTCTCGAGAAGATTGATGCACACACTGCAGTGTCAACATCTCCAGTGGCTTTGTTTTCAGTAAGTGCATTCGCCACACTATCTATTAACTCATACTGTAGTCGGTGCTTTACATCCACTGGTAAGGCCGAATCAGTCCAAAATCGATACTCTTCTATTACTGATTCCAATAACTGCACACAGTGGCCATGACAACGCAGCAGTCTTGGGACCAACGGCAGCGCAGAGTCTTTTTCAGTGTCTGTCATATCAGTATAAAGCTCAAGTAATAGTTCGAATGGCATTTTACTCGTTCCGTAGTGTTTCGAATGCTGTATCAAAACATTGATTGCGTCCGCTCGCTTGTTTGAAAGCCACAAAAAGCTGAAAAAGCTTCTGATTCGGCCATCTCTTTCACCACAGTCGATTGCTCTGCGTGCCTCTGCGCCATCAAGGCGCTCGCAGCAGCGTACGTTCAGAGCGTACAAGGTCTCTGCGGCCTCGGACCAGTCTACATCTTGACATTTCCTTGCGACGGTGTGAATAACCCTCCTTGTTGACACAGTGTTAACTTCATCCCTTGTTAAGAGTTGTTCGAGAGAGTCTCGAACAATGCTCCACTCATGAAATTCCCCAAAGCACGTAATATCCCGAGTGGATGATTCGAGTAGTAAAGCGACTAAAATATTAGCGACACACAACTCTGGTAAACTGCTGCATATCTTTCGTGTAGCTGAGTCGCATTGTACTGTAAGCTCCAAAAGTTGTAAACCTATAAGACTGCATGTCATGACTTGAGAAGAAAGTTCACTACAGTTGCATGCAGAATGTTGACCAATTGATCGGACTTCGCGTGCCAGTGCTACGTAAATACGAACCAATACGTTGATCATTGACTCATCAATGTGTCCTTGAAGCAACTGAGATATGCTTTGATTTGCATAACTAAGCTCCTGGTATACCAACATATGGTCACTCAACCGTGTAAGTCGTAGCGCAACCTTTAAACTGATAGCGTACCAAGATGAAGCTAGCTCGTGCAATTCACAAAATAACTGAATCGCACCTTCGCGTGCATCCAGCTGTATTGCCCGATACGCCACATGCCAGCACAAGGGCACTAGCTTTTCCTCGTTCGTGAAGTCTTGTAGACGTAAGATGGGAAGCAAATATTCGCATGACTCCGAAACACTTGTACAGTGCAAGAGTTGTGCACACACTTCGAAGATATAGTCGTCACCAAACAGTGAGTGCTCCAAACAACGCACTATCACGTCAAGGAACGTTTTTCTAACTACTGACATGTCAGAGAAAGGTAGCACATCGTGTAAACGCTTCAATACTCGTAGAGAATTGCTTATCAAGCTACGAACATGTTTCTTCGACGAACTTTCAACTTTTTTGTTCAAGATGAGGGTGAGGAGGGGTGTCGTGACGCTGGACAACTGCAGCAAGTCTGAGTAAACATCAGATGACTCGAGACTTTCATCACTCAAAGCGCTCACCAGTATTAAAAAAGTACCAATCAATACGGTAACGAAAACATTTTCATCTCGGCGGCGACTGCAGATCTTTGATAGCTCCAAAGTACTCAACTGGTCAAGTGGACGTGGGTGGAGCAGATCCTTGAGCAAGGCCCAGCAATGTGCAGCAACTGTCTTATTCGCTTCGAGCGCGACCAGCCTTCGAATCAACGTATATCGCAATCCAAAAACTCGATCCTCGTCTTTGTGACTTCGACATGACCAAAGTAAGTCGCACAGTCTTTCAGCACCTGTCAACAAACACCGCACATGAGCCTTGTGCGAGCTACGTTCCACAGCCGTCAGTGTTTCCAAGGCGGCGTTTGATAAATCCGCGCGAAGCTTGGACGATATTTGAACGTTTCCCACGCGACCTTCGCTCGACTCCCGACTAGTCTCAACCATCTTCGCCAGAATGTCGCAGGCTTTGTCGTGGTCACCTGCAGCAAGTTTCGCGCGGAATTCCCCGAGCATGATCGAAGCTCACGAGGGCCGTCTTCGTCTATACTAATTTCATGTCTGCTCGCTGATTTTCTCGTAGCGGTCCCACCAACGGCAAATGCTGAGCTCAACGCCGCGGCGAGCAGTTTGAATTTAGAAGCCGACAGATCGATTTCTCGACCACGACGCGCGCCGATTGCGCGACCGATTGCTATACTATTAGTCGGCCGTAGTGTAAAATTATTAACTTGCGTACGCGGATTTACGGGTTTTGGTTGAAAATTTATATTTCTAGTCGATCTTCCGACCAGCCTAAGCACTTCCGGAAGACACCAGCAGCTGTCACATAACGGCTCCACGAAAGCGACGAGCAGCCATTCCCTCGAGTATTCTTCCCCGAGCGACCGGTGATTTTTCGTATAGCATCCGTTAGAGCGTGTGCTGTTTGCTGGAGTCTGGAGCGTGCAGCAGTGTATGTACATGGACACTTCGTTGAGTGCTCAGGCTCACGTCAGCCCGGTCTCAGACCGCTTGATGCAAGCGGATATCGAGCGTATCTTCGCTACTTTTGGCAAAATAGCTGATATAGAATTCAAGAGAGGTACTAATGTACACTCAGCCGTGGTGACTTATGCGTCAAGGTAGGGACAACACAACACGTTTTCTTCATGTTACTTACTGGTTTGTCCAGACTAGACTGCGAACAGGCAGTTGCAAATTTGAATGGGTCTGAACTCCACGGAATCACCGTGACAGTCAAACAACTTGACTTCCACAGCAGTAGTTAATGTTATCCACCTGATGAAATTTTGCAGGTAATTCTGAGGCTCGCCCAAGTTACACATCTATGGCACACAGCGGCTTTTAGCATAGTAGCTTGCCTTCCTTTCCCAACTGATATCGCTAAACGACTCTTTCGTGAGGTCAACGTGTTCGTTGTAGCGCGATCGAAGCAGTCCTCACGCTTCAAAAATGTGTCATCGCGCTATGACGAGTAGCAGACTTGAGCCGAGCTCAACGAGCGCACGAGCTTCCGCCATTTTATTAGTACACCGCACCACGTTTTTCTGCATGATACAAGTGAATAACGTACAATCATCTCTACCAAACGGTATACCTCTACGCTGGTGACTTTGAAGCGCGCGGAGCCTTCTCTATGCTTATACTTGAAGCTGACACGGACCTAGACAAAAACTACTTTCAGACGTCTACGTGATATTGTTCAAGGGAGCCTACCACACCGGCGTTCAAACCTGTTAGCGAAGAAACGCCATTGTAAAATCTCGAAAAGTCGTCGACGTGTTGCTTCATATGCACGAACGCGTCCGACTGTTGAGCCAACTATCCCGGGCCTCCCGTTTTCGCGATATCATCGTACTAGTAACTAGTTCGGGCTGCAGCGGCTTGGTACAGAGCTTTTTTGTACCACCAGTGTATCAGGCAATGTGTATGGGCAAACAGTTTTGTACCAGACGATTTTGGTACGTACCAGCAAATTTCCTGGTACAGGACGGACGACTCGGAATGTATCGGTGCGCACGTATAAAGGTTGCGCAGCGAAACAGCAAATATCACAAACGAGGGGACGTGCATGACGACGACTGTGAGGTTGACGGGGACATGTTTTACGAGATAATCAAAGCAGTTGATTCCGGACATCTATGATAAAATGGCAGACTTTGACATCGTCTTTGTACAGATGGATGGCGCACGGCCGCATGTGAAGTGCATGGACGCCTTAAACGCTGCTGGAGCGCGAAGGAAGCGCGTCAATGGGAAGCAAGCGCCACTGATCAAATTTGTGTTACAACCGGCCAACTCACCGGACACCAACTTGAACGATCTCTGCTTCTTTAGGTCGCTATCAAAGTACGTTCAAGAGCACGAACGTGAGATCGAACACAGCGCTGCTAATAAGGACGAGTTTTGGAACCTCGTGGTGGAGCAATACCATGAATATCATGACCGCGAGAGACTTCAGAGATGCTGGGATGTCAAAACTGCGGTCACTAAATGCATCCTCGACGCCAACGGAACGAACGATTACAAGCTACCGCACTGCATCAAGCACGAGGAACCCATTTCTTTCGATCTTTCCTTGGATTTGGACGACGCAAACGATCCGGTGGCGCGCACTTTGGACTACGAAGGTCTGCATGCCTCACTCCCTTCTTCTCTCAGAGTACGATAAATTTCAACAGCTTTAAAATGCCGTGCGGCATGCCTCGATACGATGCGACATTGCGTATAATGAAGCTATTTCCCCTAGTTTCCGAATGGAGGTTACCGTAGTACTAGAAACACGGAATTCAGGGTATTTTTCACACGGTTTCCTTGTGCGCAAATTTAGGGCTTTAGACGTCACTCAATGCGGGGATCGAACCCGCGACCCTCAGCTTAGGAAGCTGACACTCTATCCACTGAGTTAATTGAGCGCGTGGCGCGTGTGCTGGGCGGATATAGAATGCTCCACACACCTGTCTTTGTACATAATCGAGTTTGAGCACCATAACGGACACGACACTGTGGCCGAGTGGTCTAAGGCGCCAGGTTCAGGTCCTGGTTCGAAAGAGCGTGGGTTCAAATCCCACCGGTGTCAGTTGCTGTCAGTCATGCGAGCAAAGCCTTAAGTTTCAAGAAAAAAAAAAGAACTTTGACGAAGCATAGCGGACGAACGCGCGAACGAAATACGTCGAACGTCAGAGGGCTTCTGCGAGAGGTTATTTTTGATCTTTCGAACGCGACATTCATCTCTGCAAACTAAGGATACGCGCGTCGACGAGCCGACGAAATGAAGTGTTACACTTGTTCACCGTCTATTGCCGGATCTACCTAAAATTTGGCGTAGGGCAAACATGCTCTCACCAAGGGCATCTGAGAAGTTCCAACAGCGGATTCGATGCCAAGGCGAGCCTTTCGCTCGGATGTCTTCGGGCCGTTGAGATGCGCTTTCCCTGGCCGACGATGCATCACCTACGAGGACGCGATTTAGACGGACGTGAGGTCAGTCGAGCGAAAATTGCACACACACGCCAACTCGACTGCGCTCGACGTCGTAACGCGTTTTTCGGAACTTCGGTGACGCTCGCACCTTGCCACTCGCCGTGACCTTGTAACGTTTAGCGGCGGATTTTCTCGTTTTCATTTTCCCGGCCGTAACTTCGAAACAATCGCGTGAGCCGGTTGACTTCGACGGGCTCGCACGCCCTAAAGACCCTGCCGCTCCCACTGCAGCGGACTTGCCGAACGACAATTTCGACGGCACCTGGGCGGCGAAACGCGCCGTGCTGGCACAGTTCAAGCTAGCAGTACACATTTGTAGGATTTGCAGAAGATCGTCACGCGTCGTAAGCGTTGCGCAGTGGTGACTTGATGCGGCGAGTCGACGTACACAGGGAGGTCCGCCGTGCTGTTTTTCGTCCAGGGTGAGGATGGGCCAGTCGCAACAGAGACCCCATATCCGGCGTCACTTTTAAGGTTTCTCAGAATTCCCTCATCCACACGGCCGCAGCCAATCATAATTTAGTTTCAAGACGCGCGAACAAATTTGATTGGTCCGGTGATGAGTGCGGGTGCAAGTTGACAGGCGGGTGGCGGTCAGACGTCAGACTACGCCGACGGCCGACGGGAATGACCGCGAAGCGAAAAATCATGCGTCGGTTGACGCTGTGTACGCTCCTTGCTGTAATCTTTGCCGCCGCTTGCGCCCCGCAAGGTCGCGCCGAAAGTACTACGTCAGAAATCACCGGTACTGTAATCGGGATCGATCTCGGCACGACGTATTCATGCGTTGGCGCTTATGTAAACGGCAAAGTGGAAATCATCGCAAATGATCAAGGAAACAGGATTACACCATCTTACGTGGCGTTCACCGACACCGAGAGATTGATCGGCGACTCCGCCAAGAACCAAGCATCTGCGAATCCCACGCGCACTGTCTTCGACGCGAAGCGCCTCATCGGACGGAAATTCACCGACAAGGAAGTCCAACGTGATCTCAAGATGTTTCCATTCAAAATTGTCGACAAGGATAGCAAGCCGTGCATCGAAATCGAACTCAAAGATGGCAAGAAGATTTTTCAAGCTGAAGAAATTTCCGCGATGGTTCTCACTAAAATGAAGGAAACTGCTGAGGCATACCTCGGCAAGGACATCAAGAACGCCGTGGTGACGGTTCCCGCCTATTTCAATGATGCCCAGCGTCAAGCCACCAAAGATGCGGGAATCATCGCTGGTCTAAACGTGGCAAGAATTATCAACGAGCCTACTGCCGCGGCAATCGCTTACGGCTTGGACAAAAAGGGCGAGAAAAATATCCTCGTCTTCGATCTTGGCGGAGGGACCTTTGACGTATCCATTCTTACCATTGACAACGGCGTGTTCGAAGTGATCTCGACGAACGGAGATACTCACTTGGGCGGCGAAGATTTTGACCAACGCATCATGGAGTACTTCATCAAACTGATCAAGCGCAAGCACGGCAAGGACATCTCGAGCGATTCGAAAGCAGTACAAAAACTCAGGCGAGAAGCCGAAAGAGCAAAGCGAACACTGTCGAATCAGCATCAAGTGCGCGTCGAAATCGAAGCTCTCTTCGATGGTATGGACTTTTCCGAACCCCTCACCAGAGCTCGATTTGAGGAACTCAACAACGACCTCTTCCGCAAGACGATGGGTCCAGTGAAGAAAGCCATGGATGACGCGGGTATGAAAAAGAGTGAAATCGACGAGATCGTTCTCGTCGGTGGCTCGACGCGAATCCCTAAAGTTCAGGATCTTCTTCGAGACTTCTTTGATGGTAAGGAACCGAATAAGGGGGTCAACCCAGACGAGGCAGTGGCATACGGCGCTGCTGTTCAGGGGGGCATTTTATCCGGTGAAGGTGGTGATGAAACGAAAGACATCCTCTTACTCGATGTTGCTCCGCTCACTCAAGGGATTGAGACCGTAGGGGGCGTTATGACGAAGCTCATTCCTCGTAACACGGTCATCCCTACGAAGAAGTCGCAAACTTTTACAACGTATCAAGACAACCAACAGACGGTGATGATTCAAGTTTTTGAAGGTGAGCGAGCGATGACGAAAGATAATCACCTCTTGGGTAAGTTTGAGCTCACGTCAATCCCTCCAGCCCCTCGTGGCGTGCCACAGATCGAGGTGACGTTTGAAATCGATGCGAACGGTATCCTGAACGTTGGCGCCGAAGACAAGGGGACTGGAAAGTCTGAAAAAATTACCATCACCAACGACAAGGGAAGATTGTCGCAAGAAGAGATCGAGCGCATGGTCGAAGAGGCTGAAGAATTTGCCGAGGAAGATCGAAAGACGAAGGAACGAATCGACTCACGTAACAGTCTCGAGACGTTTGCCTACAACATGAAAAACACCGTCTCTGATTCTGACAAGCTCGCTGATAAGCTCGAAGAAGACGATAAGAGCACTATTGAAGAAGCCGTTAAGGAAGCCCTCGACTGGCTGGATGACAATCAAAGTGCTGAGAAAGATGACTACGATGAGCAACTCAAGAAACTTGAGGAAGTGTGCAATCCGATAGTGGCCAAGGCGTACCAGAGTGGTTCCGCTGATGACTCAGAAACCGTCGATGAACACGACGAGCTATAATCCAATCGAAGTCCTCTTAATTAGACGTTTCAATGTCTGATCCGACAGTATTTGAACCGGAACAGCTATGGGTTCGACTGGGAACAGATCCCTGTAATTAATTTACTCCAACGCCCATTTGTCGACATGCTAATAACCTCTATTCGGAAAGTGATGATAAAGAGCCTCGCGAAGACATGCTGGGTGAGTGGTATCCCCTCAAATGACGCGTGGATAGTTTCTCCGCGACTCATGATAGCCGTACGACATCCCGATATGACCCCTGGATGCTTCCGAGTCGGAGCGACTCCCGAGATCGCCCACGAGTACACCTGGTGACATCCTCAACGACGCTCCTTTTGGTTCCCGAATTCGCCGGCGGACGCTTCCTTGAATGATCGCTCCGTGGGCGACGTCTTTGTATAGAACAAACATATTTGTTGTATATTACATTCTTTTCGATTGCTCAAGCCGCGATCTGCGAGCGGGCGCCTCGATGTGATCAGTATGAGTGTTGTTTGACACGCTGAAATAAGTCCGTGAAAACATCAGGTGGGAGTGCTTGCTGGATACTCGTGAATATCTGCTTAGCGAGTGGTTCAGTTAGACTGCTGATGTCGGAAGAAGACGTTACGCTCCGTCCCTCCATGCACGTCTGACAGAGAAGAATTGTGTGGAACAATAACGTATCACTTGGTGCTTTGCAAGACTTTTCTGAGCTTACCAATGCTGCCATCCATCGAAGCATAAGACAGCATAGATCTGAATTGGAGGCTAGAGCGGCCTTTCGAAGTTTCGTAAAAATCCGAACGCTTTGCTCGGCATCAATTCCTCTAGCGTGCACGGTCAACGCGTGCGTCAGACAGACAAAGATGTCTTGAACAACCGTTGACTCAACATTCTGAAGCTGCGACTGGAGTTGAATATTTGCGACCAATGCATTCACAAGAGAAACAACGTCGTCCGAGCGACGTAGCTCAATGGAGCCGCCTTGGGCTTCAAAATGGAAATATGTTTTAAGCAGACGAATGGCGGCTGATTTCACCCATGCGTGTGAGTGTAACATGGCGTTTGGCAGAGCAGCAAGAAGCGTAGAATCACTCTCATAAGCAGGATTGTATAATTTCTTACGCTCGCGATGCTCGATGAACTTCTCAAAACAACTCATTAAACAATAACATGCTGACCAGTTTTCGATTGATGCTTTGCTTAAACAGCTGCGGAGCACTTGGGCCATATCGCTTTCGATTCTGGAGAAAATCTCATATGTTGTAGAAGGCTGTCTGAGGAAACCAACAAGCAATACTTTATAAGCCGCTTGTTCAAGTCCATCGGATCTCTTCGACCATCGTTTTGCGCATTCAAGAAACTTTACAGCTTCGCTGCCATGTGTGCGAGTGAAAAGACAGTCAACAGCCCTGCTTGCAGCTAAGCTGCAGTCCGAGTTAGTATCTGTCGCAATGCGAAGTACAAGTGGCAAGTAGAAGATTGCGCCATGTGAACAAATAGTGGTCTCAGTCAGTCTCTGTAAAAGTGCATGAATTGTATTCAGGACAGAGACTCGCCCTTCAGGACTAGAATACTCCAGCAATGCTATCAACGACTGGAATATTTGATCAATTTTTCGTTCGCCCAGTGGGTATGCTGAAATAAAGCGAACAACTGTACGAGAACACATGTCACGGAGTTCAGCAGATTGACCGCACGCAAGTATAGGTATGATTTTATCGATCAGAACATAGATATCGGCATGAACGATTCTTTGAGATAAGATTGCGTTCAGTAAGAGAAATGATGGTTTCATGCATGGAGCATCGCCATATAGATCTTTGAACGCAAAGGATAGTACAACTGACATCTGCGATGAAGTGAGGACTGAACGTTCTTGACGTTTTATCACGAAAGCAACGATGCGCAGGCAGTTCTGTGCGAGATCGTCACCCACAGAGTCACATGAATTGATCGTGCAAATCAGTACTTTTGTCAATGTTAAGTAACCTTGTGCATCAATTGAGTGTGGCGCATGGCTCAAAAGTTGCTGTATCACGCGCGCCGCACCGACTCTTACCTCGTGCGAATGTCCTATTAAACATCGCATCACTACTCCAAATATACCTGTTAACATTGGAATATCAAATCCGGATAGACTCCGCTTTGAGCGCGCGCTTTTGAATGTATCCTGCATGAGCTTGATTGCAAATTGCTGAATCATGCCACAGTATTCGATGTGTAGATGTTGCGTCTGATCCAATTTCGTAACGTCTGCCATTCTGGTGTTTTCTTGTGACGCTGACAACGCGTACTCCTCGATGATTGACCTGGCCAAGTTGATGTGTTGCTCCAGCTTTACGAACGGATTCGTCAGCATTCCTTCATGAAATGCGCGCAAAATTAGCTCGAATTGCTTAAGATTCTTCGCAGTGACATGATACGGTAACATTTTCACAAAATTTCCCATAAGCTTAATGAAAAAATCTTGCTCTGTTAGAGTTGCTGTAAGGATGGTGACTGTTTTAAGCGCGTAAATTGGCTTTGCTTCATTAACCATACGAATCGTTTCCAAGTACTGCTTTGAGTCATTGAAAAAGATAGACCGAAAGCATGGTATCATATCTGCAATGAGCGCCATAGCTGTATCTGTAGACGTGTATGAGCAGCTGCTCACAGCAACGTAAATCGCCTTGACAAACACGTGAAGATGGAACCCCGAAGTTCGGCCACTTCTCAAAATATGCATTATCAACAATAGATGTTTGTCGCCTAGTTCAGTTGCAATAGACTTGAGTGCTGTCATGGCATTGTCTCTCAGTTTCTGTGCACGACTGTTCATGTTCTCGCTCACGATCTTCAATACTCGAATGAGACCTTCCGTTCGCTCTTCCTCATCGAGCAATGACAGTATGATGCTTGAACACGATACAGCATTCACTTGCAAACATTTCGAGTAGCTTGAATTACTCATTTGTAACTCTCGTTGTGATAAAATGCAAGATTCCGCTATCGGTAGAGCGACATTGTAAAGGGTCTGTAAGTTTGCCGTCGCAGTAAGTTTGGTTTCGGACACATCAGTTCCACTCGAATCACTGCAAATACTTGAACAAAGCTTGTAATTCTCGAGCATACGCAAAGCGCCTCGAAGATAATAAGTTTGGGAAGTACTCGCACGATGTGCTCGTCGTAATAGCTGGCACACTGATGCCACGTAATCAGATGATTCAAGCACCGCATTCATATGATGCAATGAATCTACTGCCGTCGCTGCCACGTTCGCGCTTTGATCTTCTAAAAATAATGTAATAATGGGCAGTATGTATCTTATGTAAGTTTCCGCAGAGACTGAGCGGAAGACATCAGCCCTGTTGAGTCGACGGATTGCTGATGCTCTTCGGCGTGCTTGAATATGCAACAGACACATAAATACGTCAGCATCTGCATCCTCGGCACAAAATAAACGAAGTTCAGGCACATGATCGTTCAAGACAGCCTGCCTTAAAATTTCGATTCCATGACTGCGAACATAGAGATTCGAACTTGCTAGCGACCGAACGACTCCGGATAGTATTATCTCTGACACAAAATTCACACCTTGCCGTGGATTCCCCGAGTAGTTCAAGCTCTTTGGAGATCTATCGGCCAAATATTGACATATTAACGATTTCGCGGAGTTCTGAATAGTCATATCGCTAGAATGTAGGTCGTGAAACGCACTGTGAACCCATAAGCGTATAACTTCCCCTTCTGTTGATGAGCGTTCCATGAGATCGCCATAAGCTTTCAATCTTCGTTTGTAGTCAATTTCTTCGATATTACCATCCGCAAATGAGTTCAATGCGTGCAAAATTTGGGACACTGCCTCATCTTCTTTTGGACAGAGAAAGTCAAACACATCAAGCAATGCTTTCCGCATGAGCCTCGATTTCAAGGTTGCTAGGAAAGGAGATAGCCTTAAGATGCTCTGAAGACCGAAATCCGTATTAATCGTGACATGAGAAAGCGAAGAACAGAGCGTTGAGAGATACAGAGCACGGGTGACATCGTTTCCTTTTCTCAGACACATTAACTCGACGATATCTTCAATCTTGTGGATATCCCATGGAATAGCGTGAAATTTAGCCAATCGGTCGAGTAGTTGCAATTCTGAGGGGTCTGCATCAACTCTTTTCAATGAGTTGCCATGCGCTTTCTCGAGCTTACTCATGAGTGAAGCGCGGACACTATCGACAATCTGTTCACGTAAAACCTCGACATGACTACATTGTCTTTCTGAGAACATTTTTCCTTCCACACGATCAAGAAGCCCAGAAATAATCGTCAGAATAATTTGTTTGTTCTGATGCATCACTGTTTTACATTCCAGCACTCTCAGAATATTTTTGACAAGCATATAGCCGTTCTCTTCTTCGAGTACTTGAACCAAGTGTTCGCTTTGAAATACTGAAGAAGCAAACACCAAAACTGCAGGTAGGTGCGAGGTAGCGCACTCGTTCGTGAGGCCCTCAGAAATACGCAGAATATGTTTGCTGGCCTTGTGCCAATAATATCGCACGAGTTCCGATGAAGAAGCAGGTAGTATGTTTGCAAGTAGACTGAACGATTTTGACCTCAGCATTTTCAAACGACCACGATCTTCTTCGGTGAGAGCATCCGCATACTCACATGAATGAATGAACATGTGAAACATCAGAGTAATAAATAAGTGCGCCATATCATTGACATGGGCTGGTATCTTCATTTGAGATTCTTGGACTCTCGAAGAGATAGTGAGTAACTCAACACACGACACTTTCGACATCAGAAAGCTAATCTCATCATATTTCTCCATGAGATCTCCCTCATTCATTTTGACGCAAAAATGAAAGCCCACTTTTGAGAAGGGAAGCAACAGATAGTCCAGGAAGGGGCCGAGTTCAGAAGATTTCAGAGTGCCAAACCAGCGCAGTATCAAATATCTAAACGCGTTGAGTGTTCTTTTCTTGGAATGGACGTACTTTGAGAGTACTCTTACTATAATATCAACGACTTGCTCTCTGTGTTTCCTGTGAATGCTAGGAAATTGGTCCAAAGCTGTCGAGCCATCTCCTTCAAATCGAATTGTAGCTAGTGCAACTTTGACAGAACTTGGGTCTGCCAAAGAGCACAGCTGTGATAATCTCAAGTCTGGTAAATAATCTATCTTCAACTGCCCCATACATTTTATGGCTGCCTGTGCCAACTCTGTATGTTCATCTCCAGCCAAGAATTTAAGCGCTTGGGAAATATCTGTACGCATGTCCACTGGATCAGTAGTTTGTTGAAGAGTGCTTGCAACGCGTACGTGTATTATCTCTAATAGTGAAGTAAGTACTCCAATGTACTGCGAGCCTACGGACCTAGTCATGGCACGCTGTGACGACAAAGTCACATCCATGAAGATTCGCACAATGAAGTTGAACTCGACGAGTTCACAGCGCTTCAAAGACGACAGCATGATCTGTAACCGCTGATTGTCATCAGCTATCTGCTCAGACGGATAGAGAACGTCGTGCACCTCACGACGAACACCAGCTGACGTGATGCTCTGTGCAAATGCACCTTCTCCGCCGCCATCAAACAATCTGCGCTTTGTAAGAAGGATCTCCGCTTGGAGAGTTTCGAGTGCTCCGACGTCGCCATCTATGAGCGCACTTAGCAAGTCCTTCAAAGGCTCCCATATTGGGCTGAATCTAATATGTAAAGCACCCAGAGTCATGTGTAAAATCATTATGCATTCAAGCGGCGTGCCGTCACTATTTTTAATTCTTCGAGCCACTGAATGAAGAAGATTCACACTCTTCCTAGAATATTCAAGCATGTTGCAGTTGCTGAGTGAGAGCTGATTGATGTAGCTGAAGGTAAAGATCACATCTGGAACCGTCATAATTCCAGTTGATTCACCTACCGAGGTAGACAGAAGCGCCATGTATTGGAGGACGCTGGCGCGAAGTGATCTACTGGAAGAGCTTAACAGTTTAAGTATATGATCGGGTAACAATCTTCCCTGGAAACAGAAAATATCAGCTTTGAGACTTGAAAGCAATGACGTCAATCGTGACCAAATCGCTGGTGATGACACTGATCCTGCGAGTACGACTTCAAGTAAAGCCAAAGTATAGTCAACATTTGAAGACGCCTCCAGTTCTTGGCAAAGAGCTTCTGAGTCCATTGCTGCCATTAGTAGTACTAAATCGCGCACAGAGAGCTCTCGCTCAGAGTTGGTGCCGACGGATGACTTCAAATGGACGACGGTATCGCTCACAAAAGTCCGAATGAAAGTTGGAGCGACAAAATAAGGTAGAATTCGCACAATTGTCCATATATCGCTAACGTCTCCATCTAATTGTCTACGTTTAAGCTCACGCACAACATGCTCTGAAACTAACTCCTTGTGCCCTCGAAGGGTCATCAACCGATTCGTATTTAGCTTCGAAAGTATTCTACCGAAAGTCAAAGAATGATCGAACCCACTAAATAACACCACTTGTGCCGCGTTTGTATCTCCGATTAAAGTCTCCGCCATAATGCGAGCGGCGGAGCAATTCAGATCCAAATTCTGCACCAGTGCCCTCAGCATGTAAAGTAGAGAGTCACCATCCATGAATAGCAGCAAGCGAGACCAGGAAAAAGATCTTAGGACTAAAGTCACTTCAGACTCATCACGCGAAGATACTGCAGCCAAGAGTCGTGCAAGTTGCATCGCACACGTTGTCTGATTCTTTATTGCGGAGTCTTTGTTGCACGCTGAGACATAGACGGCGATGAAATTAGACAGACCCTCATTGATACCTTCACACAGCTCAAATCTGGACGAAAGTATAGTTGTAGCTACCTGGGCAACGTATTGCGCACGACCACACGTTGCTTCACTATCAAAATTTGAATCTAAACACACAATTGAGAAGAGTGAGGCCCACGTTCCCTTGAGCGCATACTTCGGCAAAGTTGCAGCAAGTGACACAACGACACTATCAAACAGCACGTAACGAGTACTTAGTTCAATGATTGGGGCGAATGCAGGATCGACGAGTGCGCGTAACACGATATCAGACTTTGAATGAAGTTGGTTTCCACCACTGACCATCGCATAGTAAATGAGTATTGTCGCTGCCTCAATGACATGTGGCGTTTTGACGATGGCCTGCATCCCCGTCGAACATTCTAATAGGACGGCCTTCATCGCCGCCAAAATGTCCTTTCGATTTGAACTACGTAGGATCGGAGCAACTGCTTGTGCTGCAAGTTTGCGGAAAAGCTGTTTCTGGTGAAGTCGAACGCACCGTGTGAAACCAAGTATCTGCACCACTGAGACTTTGTGCGAACGTCGCAAAATGACACAAAGTGTCGCAATGCATCGAAACGATGTTTCCACATGTTTTGACTCCAATTCTGAAATACTATCTAGACAAGAAAGTATACTTCGGATTGCCCTATTCAAGTGTGCAGCAAAGCCAGCACCAATGTCTTGTGCCAACGCGACGAGGCAGTGCAGTAACGCCTCGAGAGAGTGGCCTTCTCCTAACATTATATTATCGTAGAGAGCCTCCATGATTTCCGACTCATTTAGAATAACCTGCGCCAGCGTATAACAGTGTGGCACAGCTTTTGCTGAGAACGCACTGAACGCCTTCGTACAAGACAGCTCTTGCCAGTGAGCCAACGCAACACGTAGATGCGTCTCATAAGTATCACTCTGCGCACTTTTACGGAAACCATAATCAGTGTAGGGAGCGATCCTGATGGCTGATAGCTGCTCTGTAAAAGACTGTATGGAGTCAACAAAATTGAGCAAGCTGAAGTGTGTGTGTGTGTGTGTGCGCTTACCTGAAACGTGAACGTGCGCTTACCGCAAATGCGTTTGTCGCTCTTCAATAGTTTTTTCGCTTGAACGACGTTCCATCTAGCTGTCTCATCCCTTACCCACTCCATGTTCGCGTGAGAACGTCCCGACCCACTCGACGGCACTGCGGGCTCGAGAGGCGGCGGCCTTGAAGACATCAGTTACTGCTTCCAGAGACGTTTTGGGGCCCGGATGATTGATGTTAGTCGGCCGTACACTCGAGTACACGAATCGAGTCAAAACGTAGCGCGGTCCGCAAAATGTGCTCTAATGGCGGCGCGCACGAGGCGTCGTCACTACCACAGTTGTACTTAGGTAGGCCTGCACCGACTGGGAACGATGGGTACCGTACCCGCGTACTGTTCTACTCGGCAATTTGTATGCGCAAACAGTTTGTACCCAGCCGATTTAGGTACGTACCCAAAAATTCCTGGTACAGGTCATTTTGAGCCCTCATTATGGAACTCAATCGCTTCACGACGCCAGTCGCACGAACACACTGTAAAAAAGAGACGAAACAACGAGAAACAAAGCGCGCGGTGGGGAGGGCCCCCTAAACCTCCCGGAGGGGGCGCGACCGGAATTTAGTCGCTAGTTGGTGGTCGACTAATAGTCGGCCTATTCGAAAAGTTTATGTTAAGCCAGGGGCGTTGGCGTTCCACAGGTGTACGTTCAGCGCATACACGACAGAACTTTTAATCCAATACGGAGGACACACCGTCTCAATCATTCTTCGAACACTTCGCACAGACAACTTCCTCGGCAGGCGCTCACGACATGAGCAGTCTGGCCAGGCAGACTTATCTCCTCCGAGTTGCCTCCTCAGGACCTCGTGGAGTTGTCAAACGACGAAACGATGTAACAGGGTGCTATCATGCACACAGATCATTTAGTTCACGCTCTGATGTCGTGTCGGCTGTTCCCTTGCGTTTAAGTGAACAACCTGCCAGGTACACGGCACGCATACCTGAGTTGGACAACTTCAGGAGGTGGGCAAAGTTAATGGCCGAACGCGAGGTAACAGACTTTAATACGATAGATGGAAGTCCAAATTTGCAAACTCTTCATCGTGAAATTGATTGGTTGATCTCAGACAATATTGCAAGTGTGCAAGGTTTTGGTCAGAGTCTGAACTCTGTCAAACACGTATCCTCTTTGCTGAACTCATCGGAGCTCTATTCCGTTACGCTCAGATTATCTATTGAAGAACTTGAGCATCTATGGAGAAAACGCACGATGGAGAGAGTCCCATTGCAATATCTTACGCATACAGCTCACTGGCGAGACCTTGAACTAACTGTCAGTGATGCAGTACTGATCCCAAGACCGGAGACTGAGCTCTTGATAGATTTTGCTGAAGAGATATTGAATAGGCTAGAGCTGCAATTGGATGGCACTAGTACATGGAATCATCTACTTTCAAGCCCATGGCTTGACCTGGGAACCGGATCCGGGGCCTTAGCAATTGCTATGGCGCAGGCTTTGCAGTCCAGAGGGAGGGAAACAGTCCCTTTAGTACTCGCCACGGATAAATCTATTGAAGCAGTTGAAGTGGCGAAACATAACGCTACTACTTGTGGGGTTCAAGATGTTATCCAAGTACTGAATGGTTCATGGTTTGAACCTATCGATGACAGCATTCGCTTTGCAGGAATCTTGTCAAATCCTCCTTACATACCAACTGAGCTATTAGGCTCCCTGCAACCAGAGGTTTATTTGCACGAGCCGCGACTGGCGCTAGATGGAGGCGTCAGTGGCGGTCTACTGCATATTACTTCTATTTGCGCGAAAATAACAGATTTTCTGTTACCCGGAGGTCTGTTTGCAATAGAAACACATGGTGCAGAACAAGCAAAATTTGTGGGACGATTACTGGAACAAACCAGGGCCTTTGATGATATACGGACAAGGGCGGATTATGCTGGAGTATGTCGATTTGTAACTGCCCGAAAACAACGTTGAAAGGTCGAAAATATGCAAGTCAGATGAAAGCGGCAACACGCTGAAGACTGCAATAGTGTGAGCTCATATGATTTTGTGCGACGTGAACACAGAGAACACATCCGTTACTACAGTAGTAAATATGAGTTAGACGACACTACATTATGCAGCCTGGTGTCTTTTACTTCCTGACTGGGTTCTAGGTTGGCTAAAATCACGATCACGATCTGAATCACGAGCCTAAACATCGTGATTCAAACCAGCATCACGACTGTCTCGTCGTGATTCAACCTTGGAGGAAATTGTCCGATTGTCCGAATTTACATACTAACCTCCATTCGGAAAGTGATGATACTGAGCTTTGTTATACGCGTTGTCGCATCATATCGAGGCATGCTGGACGTCGCTGGAAAGCTGTTGAAATTACCCGTACGTCGATGCAAGTTTCTCTCTCTGAATGTGCGTGAAATCGCCGCAACAAGCTGATGTCCATTTTGCTCGAGCTTCCAAATGATAGGAAAACGCGAAAAAAGTTGCAAATGTATCGACGAAAAAATTCGAAACGCGCGTGCTCCGCGCGTCAGCGCGCGCGCGGACGGCACAAATCGACCCGGGGCGCGACGGAGAGCTCGCCTGCCAAGTTTCACATGTTTTGGCCGCTTGGTCTGCTAAACCAAGGCACCGAGCGCCCAGGGGGCGAGGAAGAGCGCACGTCCTTGAGTTTTAATCGCGCGCCTCGACGGACGAAGTTGCAGGTTCACGGCGACGCGCGCACGCGACCGGTGAGCGAGAGGCTGCGGAAGCGTGAGAAAACACCCTTGCGCACAGTTCTCGGTCCTCTGTTGAGCCCGTTCAAGGCTCCGCGCCGCGTGAAAGCGCGAGGGAGGCAACACATGAGCGACGACGACCGAGCTGCTTTCGCCAAGACGGCTCACTTCGCGACGAAGACTGGGCAAGTTGCGATGACAGACCTATGCAGAGAATGGGGGTTAAGTAAGACGCAAGGTTCGATCTTTCCTTGGATTTGCACGACGCAAACGATCCGGTGGCGCGCACTTTGGACTACGAAGGTCTGCATGCCTCACTCCCTTCTTCTCTCCCACGGTAAATTTATGTTGCAAAAGTTGCGACCCCCTCGATTTGCCATGAGTTGTAACTCAAGAAAAAAAACGCGAAAAAAGACCCCTCCACGAATTCACGAGTCATGAACCGTCCGAAAACTTTTGAAACGGAGGTCAGTATTTAAACAGCGACAGCGTCACTTTCGCGCGTCTGTCGCGACGCGCGCGGGGGCAGGGGCCCGACGATGCAGGCTCATGCATGAAAGAGAGTGCACACGACCGATTCATCGCACGCGTGACGCAGTCTGGATCGTATGGGCGTTGCCGCGGGCTGGGATGCGTTCGCCTTTGGGACGGTGGGTTCATCCAACGTCGACGCGTTAGCGAAGACGAAAGCGGGGGTAAACGCGAACATCTGGATCCACCGAGGATGCGCGATGTGCAAGAGTGGTTCTGTTCAGGAAAAGTTACATTCGGCCGTACTTGAGGTCGTATCGCGCGTAACAAGGCTCGTGAATGCAGCTGTGTTTCCTGTGCTCATTTTTGACGGTGCGAGGACAGAGAGCAAACGGGAGACCCACGCGATGCAGGCAGGCGTGAAAGGTGAAAACTTCGAGCGGTGTGACGTACCCCACATCCTGAACGAAGTTCGCAGCCGTGGTTTTGCATACGTTGTTGCCCCCCACGAAGCGGATCATCAGTTGAAATTTTTGGAGGCTTTTTGGAGCTGTTGAACCTTGTGTTCGAGCCCTCGGTACCGCTCATCGTCATCGCGCACCACCTCAAATGTAGTGTTCAATGTGTTTCCAATCTCTCCACGCGTTGATATTGCCGCACGCGCGGATCTACGTCGCTTCCCATCCACTGACACGAGCTCGGAGCGTGCACGAGTATGCTTCCGGAGATGCCAAGAGCTTAATTTTTGCCTGTTTTCTGCTTCGGACCTGTCTAGTATTGTTACGATGAGTACAACGATGAATACAACGATGAGTATCGCGACAAGCTGTGTATCACATCGTGATACCGCCAACCCAGTCGAGCGCCGCTCGAGCTCCATCGAATGGATTTTGTAAACTGAATGGCGAATGTTCACTACAATATGCAATGTTGACAGGTGGAGCCATACTTGTTCATCGCTCTCCCCTAACTTCTAGGTGGCCGAAGAGTAATTGCGGGGGATAGACTGCGAGTACTTGCAAACAGAAGTGTGTCGCGTCGAACTCGTTCGATCGAACACATTCAGTGAAGCGGAAAAGTATCATCGCTCGTGGATCGGTGCGCTGCGTGCCAAACTCCAAATGGTGCAAGTTCTCTCCACTGACTCAAACCAGTAACCGAGCGATGGTGGACTTGCGCGTCCAAAACACGCAACGTTACCGACGTAAGTGCTGTGCTCTCCGTTTGAAAAGACGCAAGACGCCCAACACTTTCCATGTGTGTCCACAGCGCAAGAAAACGGATACTAAGCTCTTAGGTCTCACCCGCAGCTTAGGTCTCACCCGCAGTATTCCTGTGAGCACGGAATTGTTGCCAGTCAGTCAGTTACTGGACCCCGTCTTTTCGCACGAAAATTTTAAACATGTCGAATATTCGCAGTCGTTTTTGCTTATAGAGGGGTTCGTCACTGGTGCTGTGTTCACAAGTATTTTCTTGAACCAGGCGGAACGCTGGAGAAAATACAAACCTAACAATGGAATAACTTCAGCACTCCGAAGTACCATCGACTATTTGGAAGCCCAGGGCCCCTCTGGTGATTTTCCTAAGCAGTTGGGCCGAGATGTGCAAAGTTTTAGGTGGTTAAACGAGGTCGTGAAAGTTGCTTGGCCATACTTGGATGCAGCAACTTCAGCGGTGATAGTCAGCGCTTTAGATCCGATACTGCAAAATACAAGGCCTAGTTTTCTGACATCGATAGAATTTGAGCGCTTTAGTTTTGGTAGCGTTCCAGCCATAATTGAAGCGGTAAAGGTCTATGAAGCAGGGAATGAGGGCGCCCTAGAGATCGATCTACACGTCTTTTGGGCAGGTGACCCAGACGTTGTTCTCAAAATTAGAGCCGCTCAGGCAGCTCTGGCGGTACCAGTCTCGCTCACTGAGTTCGAGTGTACTTTCACCTTGCGAATGATTTTCGCTCCACTTATCGGCACGTTTCCGTGCTTCGGTGCACTTACATTGTCATTGACTGAAGATCCTGTTGTGAAGTTCGATTTACGTGTGGTTGGAGGAGACATCACGCTTCTTCCAGGACTGGCACAACCACTTCGAACATATATACAGGCACTCATTGCATCGTTTCTTGTCTGGCCTCGATGCATCACGGTGCCCATTCCAAGTACGGGATACTCGCTACCAGATCGAGAAAGTGCAAACGCTGGCTTATTGCACGTTGAGATCCACTCACATAACGACTCTGTAGGCTCGCCAGCTGAGATAGCTCTTCAGCTGCGATGGCCGGGAACATCAGGTTCAAACGCATCACAAGAAGTGCGACTACAAGCTTCACCAAGCGGTAGTTTTTTTAACTCACGAGAAGTAACACTTCCAGTCGAAGATACAACGAGACAAATATTGAGTGTAAGGTGGTATACGAGCGACGGTAATACTGAGGAGAAGGGAAAAATAGTTGGCGAAACCAGCTTGCTCCTGGATGACATTGTCCAGCAATTGAAGGCTGACACCCATGAAGACTATAAGAACTGGGGTCCTATTACAATCGCTGCAGAGCTAGAGTCTGTATTATCAACGGAATTATCGGAAGAAAAAACCAGTAAAACTACTGACACGGTTTACGGTCGAGTGACAAAGTTGGGAACAGGCTTGTTCTCACGTATTCGACGCGCATCGTCAAATGTTTCTTCCAAGTTTGTAGCGGACGCTAAATATGATGCCAGCTTTGATCATTCGAATGCAAGTACACGTATTGTCCAGTTGACTGTGAGATATCAGTCACTCGATTCTTTACAGGTGGCGGGTTTGGAAGACAATGCCGAGCTATAGGACAGCCCGGGCTCACAACAAAATGATGGCTATCAATTGGTTATGCTGTAACATCTGCGTGCGTATATTCGCCGCTTCACACGAATAAACCGCAAAAGCGAAAACACATACACGCATAAGTCTGGGTTGCAAAAACGTACAGTCATCATCACCTTTCATTCTAATTGAAGAATAACTCCGAAGTGAAAATGCTGCATAATTTGAAATTTATCTAGACATTCCCCCTGAACACAACTTATGAACGGTGATGGTTTGAAGTTCAGTTTCTTACGCAATACATTTTCAGAAGTCCCTCAAAAACTTTTGACCAAGTGCGCACGGTGCTCAGGCTCGCGAGGACAGGTGACACAACTGTTAACGGCCCACTTTTCGTCTATGTCGACTCTTATGCTCTGAAAAATATCAGAAAGTCATTTTCTCACCTGTTTCACGTGTGTACAGCTTTCAAAGAATAGTCCACCACAAGGAAAGTTTGCGTCCAAGATATTTCTTGGTGTTGAAGTTTCATGTTGCAACTGTGCTGCCCCCCTTACCCAGCTCTAAGATGGTACAAAAGTAGCGAAAAGATTCAAGTACCATAGAAAAGGAATGAAACAGTAGTCATCTAGACCCCAAACGCCGTGCGATCCTGCCGGTTCCAAGCTTCTGTATGTTAGTATGTATGAAAACGTTCAACTATTCTCGTCGTACCGGAAATGCCGCTGAATGATCCGTATCAGAGACGTATAGCGTGCAAAAATGTTCAGTGCGACGAGAGATCGTTGTTCAGTTGTAGCTATTCCTGTTTTCTCAAGGCAACATAAGAAAGCGACAAAGTTAAGTTCGTGGCCTGTTCCATAGTCTAGTCTCAAGGGGTTGCCAAAACTAGCGCACGTGATGAGTTTAATGCGGAATGGACGCGTTCGAACAAGTAATATAGTACCTATTTTGTAAATACTCCTCAAGTTCGAGCTTCAGATCCTGTGCTCATCTTCAAGTCAGTTCAAGTCAGTTGAAGAGTGTACGAAGTGCATACCTGCCGTTCAGGAGGAGTGATGTCTCCGACGAGACCTGGAAGCCGCTGAATATTTCCAGTTTGCTGAGGTAATTTAATTCACCTTTAGAGCATATTTGCAAGTGTTGTGACCATATGCGGAAGTTTGGGTCACCAAAGCGAGTGGAGGGAGTTGTTCGTGGGAACAACTTCAAACGGTCCTCGATACAGCAAAGAAACGAGATGACTCGATCGATAGCCCAGTTACATCGATTTGCAGTCGTTGAACAAACGGACGCGCGCGCTAAGGAGTCACCGACACCCTGAAACCCGTTAAGACAGCCCGTTTGGTTGGTAACTACCTTCTCACCTCGATATAGTCCAACAGGGCCGTGCGCGCAGGCGAGATCTTGAATTTCGCCATATCTGCGAAAGTATTAATACTTGCCTTTGGCATTAGATTCGCTGAGTTGACCGCGCTTGTTGCGTTTGACATGAGCCGCGGACCAGGAGGAACGAACGCCTCTTCGTGAGGGACTCCAGCAGTGAAGTTGCAGACACGAACTGAAGTCACTCACCTACGTGCACAGTTAACCGTGGAGTGGGATTCAGATAGGGTGTCGATTGAAATCGTGTTGCTATTACAGAAGCGTTACTCATTTAGGGATGCTTGGGCTGGTACAGAGCTTTTTGTCAACATCCATCGAAGCTTAAGCGGAGAGGTGCTGACCTCTCATAAGTTGAATTCAAAACTGAAGATCTACCCGTGCGTTGAGGCCTCTGGGGCGTTCTCGACGGCGACGCGTGCGTGGGATCGAACAAAATCGAAATAATACTCGGTTTCTGAGACTCGCGCGCGCGAAAAGCAGCTCAGTGACGCGACGGTCGGGTGAATAATCGCGCGAATCGTAGGGTTTAGTCTTTAGTCAGGGCTTGGTCAGGGTTTAGGAATCGTGACACGAGTTCGACGCGGTAAATGATCGCTCGCGCGTTTTTATCGCCCTCCTCGAATTACTACAATATGTGATGGTGACCCGCGGAGCCAAACTTCTAATTATCGTACTAACTGTTAGTACTATATGATACTTGTCGGGACACCTGCAAGACTTCGACGACCGTGACCTAGTTATATCTAGACGCTCAAAGAAACGTTCAATCGACCCCTAGCCTCGAGGGTTCCGAATGCGCGGTAGTTCGATGAGGTGGTCTTTGAGGGCGATATCTTGATAAGACCTTAACGTGACAAATGCAGGACACTTCTTAACCAACTAGTCTTCACGGGGAAGGTGACCACTACCCTCCCGAGGGCAAATGAGCTTCGAAAAGAAGCTGATAGGTTGGTGACGAGAATAAAGCAGGTATATAGGACAACGCATCTCAAATGACATACGCATCACCAAGCATCCACAGGGCTCTACCAGAAACTCCCTCACAACCCATGAGACACACCTCAAACTCACTTTAGATTTGGCTAGAACATATGCGAATCATAGAGGAGGTTATACGAGTGTTACGCGTCGGAAACGACGTAGTGGTGATGGTGCACAGCTGGCCCGTGTTGAGTTTGTCCGCTTTGAGCGTCCGTCTCAATCAGTTTCCTCAATAGTCACTACATAACTTTTTGTGTCAATCACACTACCGGTAGATACGTACTGCTCACTAAACCACAAAAAATGAGTTGTCTTTATCTAAGAGTCTTGGGAACACTGCGCTGAATGTTTTCTCTGATCTAAGAACACCCAATACATCAGCAAGAGTGACTTTTGTACCCGCTGGCTGTGCGTTACTGCCAGCATCATCTTTCGCGTCCATTTCACGTGGAGCTTCGTGCAAAACCTCTCGCATTCTTTTCGGTGATTCCGTATTTTGAACACTTGCTTGATGTGTCTTGGAAAACCATTTGAGATACTTTGCATCACCAAGAGCGCTCCTCGTCGCCTCATTCGCTGCGTCGGCAAGTTGTCTCTCTTCCTCTTCTTCACGTGCTCTCTCAGCTCTTATGAGAAGTTCTTCGTCGTACTCTTCATCGCTTGTTTTGCGCTTTTTCTTATTTGAAGATTCACCAAGCTGCAGTAGCTTCTGATGCTCCTCCTCTCGCCTAACTGACGTCCTCTGTGCGAGATTTAGATTGAGCTCACGCACCTGATCTCGCGGCTGCGCATGAACTCTGGTCACCTGTGGAAATATATCAGACAGAGAGCGACGCGTTTCGCTTGATCGCGCGAGTAATGCTGACAATTTACGAATGCGTTGACGAACTGCGCCCCCAACAAGCTGAATTGAGACCTGATCGACACGCGCACCTGGCTGTCTGAGCCTGAACTTCGCGTTTATCCGCTTTGATAATCTGTGTAAATCGAAAACTTTGTGTTCTGCTATACGATAGTTCGGTTTGTAGACCTGCATATCGTTTCGAATAGGTTCCGTCGGAGAGCTAACTTCTCGCCTTCCTTCAAGTAAATATTTTGCTTCGTGGAACCCAGACGTTCTAAGAACAGCTTTCAAAACAGCCGCGCCCGAAGAGTGATTAAGAAGAGAAGAAAGCAGTGTCGTTGATGGCGCGCACTTCAGCCTCAGAGAGAGATACAGTGAAGGTATGGGTGTAGCTCCACTACGCGACTCCGTACGCAGGTAAAGCATCACTTCAGCCAGCGATATACTGCCAGTTAGGTTCACTTCCTCTACCGATGCATCTTCTAGCACCGCAGATTCGGAGCGTGAACTCATGAAGTTGTCGGGAGTCGCGGTTCGTGTCTGCCGTACAAACTGTAACAAGGACTTCAAACCTGTGCTAAGTCCAGACAAGAGCCGCGTTTGAGAGTCGTACCGTGGTGCAACCGTAGACGACTTCACGTCGTAATTTGGGACGCGCTTCGCGAGAGCGGGCGCGAGTGTAACTTGTGCCGCGATGTGAGTGGATGTGATGTTATGAACTGACGGTGCTAAAAGACATAATGTATTGTGATATTTGATCGTTCATGACTCGTCGGTCATATAGGGACTCTCTGAAGCGGTGCAATATAAATTTTTCCAACCCCTTGACGATAACTCGCGTAATTTGCCCAAATGTCCGTTAATTTTAATCACACAAAGTCCGACGCGATGGTTCACGATTCACGACTCGTGAGCGCGACGAAGTTACGAAAAGTTATGAAAATGAGCTGTTAGTCATTTTCTCATAACTCGGGGAATAAAGTTATCGAACCCTTCTGCTGTTAGTCCCACTGGCGATAACTCTGTCAATAAGTCGGAGTTATGGTCAAAGTTATCAACGGTGCTGTTAGTCGGCCTAAGGCCGGGGGGGAGATAGGCTATCTCCCCCTCGGCCTAATAAGGTCAAAATCCGCTTCAGAGAGTCCCTACATGACTGACGAGTCGTGAACCGTCGAGAAGTACATATTTTACATATAAAAGTACCATTCAATTACGACAATTGTCCCGCGTTGACCGGCTCTGTCGCGATGGTCTCAGTCGTTTGCGCGTTGTTGCTCGAGTGCGAAATCCCCAGATCTTCTGACTCTTACTTACTCCTTCCCATCAAGTTGGTACGCTCATTACGCCGTTGACGCGTCCGGATACGGTGGAATACAGGAGAATGTTCGCGATACCACCAACGAGCGTCCTGAGAGCTAGGCTCAACTGGTCTCATCAAACCTCGCACTCGCGTAGAACGATCGTGCAAAGATATTTGAAGAGTACGCAAGCAGCTATCCATGTTCGCGCACAGCGAATGGATAAGTATAAAATCGCTCGCTCACGGGTGTTACTGGCAAACAGTCTTACTTCCCAGGCGCCGAACGATCATCAACAAGAAGCCTTCCTAAGAACACGTTTGTCCGTGTTTTGTAGCATTTTGTTCGGTTATTCTTGCTACTACCTGACGCGGAATAGTCTAACATTCACTGCTCCAGCGATGGTCGCGTCACCCACCTTGAACCTTGATATCACGTCCATAGGAGTGATAACATCCATCTTCCCACTCTGCTATGGCTGCAGCAAATTTGTAAGTGGAGTGGTCGGTGATGTGTTATCCCCGAGTTTGATGCTTGGCGGAGGCTTAATTGCAACAGGGATGGTAAATATCGCGTTCGGGGCAAGTTCCACGCTTCCCATTTTTTGCATCCTGTGGGCTATGAACGGCATTCTACAGGGTTTCGGCGCGCCGAGTTGCGCGAAAATCTTAACATCGTGGTTTGCGGCAAGTGAACGTGGTACGTACTGGGGTATGTGGAACATCGCTCACAATCTGGGCGGTTTTCTTGCTCCAATTTTAGCTGGAACAGCAGCACGCATCCATGGCTGGAGTTGGGGGCTTTGGGCTCCTGGTGTGATCGCATTGATTGTTGGTTCAATAATCGTGTGCACACTCAAAGATTCACCGGAGGATAAAGGCTTCGCGCCAGTTGAACCAGACTTGAATATCCCAACCAACGCGACGAAACCAGCAGAGAGCGAACAGAAATTGTCTTTGGTGCAAAATCTTCTCCAAAACGTGCTGTCGAACCCCTTCATATGGGGGCTTGCGTTTACATACTTTTGCGTTTATGTTGTCAGACAAGGAATCACATCTTGGTCAGTATTTTATCTGATAAAGGAAAAAGGTGTCGTAGATGCCGGCGCAGCAGCTGTTCGCGTCTCAGGACTCGAGCTGGGTGGCTTGCTCGGAAGTTTACTGGCTGGTAGGATAAGCGATTCGCTGATTTCTAAAACGCAAGATGGATCTGTTGGTCAGCGTATTCGTGTGGTGATGGCATATCTCTTGGGTGTCACTGCTTCATTAATAGCTTTTAAGTTTGTTCCCGCAAGTTGGCCGGTCACGCAAGCTGCGATAGTTTTCATGATCGGATTCTTCCTGTACGGTCCTCAAATGCTCATAGGACTATGCGGAGCTGAAATCGTTGGTCGTCGCTCCGTAGGCGCGAGTGAGGGATTTCTTGGCTGGATTGCTTACCTAGGAGCAGCTAACGCCGGCGTACCACTGTCTCTCCTGGTCCAGCAGTATGGTTGGGATGCGTTCTTTGCTGCGCTTCTCAGTGCAACCGCAGTCGGGATCCTCTTGCTTGCGCCGATGATTGATGCGAAAAGCTACTTACAACGCAAGCAAGTTTATGGCAAAGGTCACATTCTAGGAAACGCGATATCACGCCCTTGAATAGTCCTGTAGCCAAAGTTTGAGTATAAGAATACAATTTTACTCAGAGTGACCAAGAGAATGAACTTGGAAGTTGAAATTACCGGATTTACTCGTCACTCCATCGCAACTCTAACTTGCTGTTATGAGAGGACAACGCGCTCCTGAGACGAGCGATGGAGAAAAGGGAGAGCGAATTCGCCGCGTTCATCCACGCGCACGAGGCACGAACCGAAGCCATGTTGTCCGGCGCTATCAATCGCTTCGCGTTGGCATTGTCTGCTCAGAAAGTTGGTTCGAACCCGGCGAGTGAAGACGACGCGGAGGTGAGAACTCAGTCCGGGTAGTCCACCCGGCGGCGCCGTGCGCGTGGAGAACATGAGTGACGGAGCGACGTCTCACGAGACCCCAATAATCGAACAATACGACGATGCACATGACGGATTATATAACACAGCGCGTGCGCGCCATTCACGCCAGGCGCACCACCGTCACCACCAGGCGCGGCTCCTGAGGCGAGGCGCAAGCCGTGTAATCATACTAATCATACTGTTTACCCATATGTTCTTCAACCCACCACGTCGTGTCAGCTCCGTCTCGTTCACGGCGCCTCCTCTCGTCCGTTGGCGACGAAACTTGGTGAAACGAACGGAAAGAGGTTTAACGATACACGTGCGCAGTTTGAGCGCATTCGTCACGCGCGTCGCGGCGCGGTGTGCGGTTTTGAAAAGTCTGAACGACCCCATGGGGTCAAAAAGTGTCTGAAATTTTCAGTGGGTCGAATCAGCAAAGTCCATACATACATCATAACACAGTGAGGAAAGAACTCGAGCAGAAAAACAACGCACACTCATCAGCTTTGCGCCGACACTCCTTTCTTGTCGACACGCGGGGAAGTATTCCCGCGAGATAGAGCAAGCTATCCCGCACGTGTACACCTGACGACTCGGCCTTTCTAGTTCTAGCGCTTCTCATCTTAGAGCGCTTGTTTCTTCGACAGAAATCGGGTGCCACCTACAACTGGAAATCGAGCGTTCTCGTGCCTGTTGTCGAGCTCGGAGGTTATGCAGAGTGACGAAGTGGTTTGGCAGGTACGAGCTTACCTATTATTTCGTGAGCACGAGTGAAACGCGTTCTAGATCATAAATCACGGACACTGCAGTTACAAGGTGACCACTGACTCGTCCAACTTCTGCAAGAACGGTTTCAACCTAACTGGGTTGTGCAACCGAAGCTCCTGCCCTCTGGCCAATAGTCAGTACGCGACAGTCTTAGAAGAGAATGGTAAATGCAGAATGCGTGTGCTTTAGATGTCGAGCTGAATAATTTGTCCAGGTGAACTTAGTTTGTATACGAAGACCGTTGAGCGATCGCATACACCCGCAAAACTATGGGAAAGGACACGGCTCAGCGTGAAGTACGACGAGGCCCTGGAACAAATAAGTCGAAGTCTGAATCTCTGGTAAGCTCAAACTCACTTTAACGCGGATACGGTCGTAAATAATGATACCCAGGCCGAAGTTTTTGGTGCACAAGAGCAAGCAACGGCTAACAAAATTGACACAATTACTCATACGCTCCAGAAAACTGAACAAGGTAGCGAGGTATGTTCCAACTTGATAGTGAGCTATACATCACATTGTGTTCACATTTCGCAGGCAAAAAGTTGAGACGATACCAGCTGGGCATGCGCAGCGAGATGCCAGAGCTGAGCGCAAAGTACCTTTTGATGTCTGGACGCAGAAATTTTCGAACTTACGCACTTTGTAGGCGCAAATAGCCGCACGTTTGGACACAAGTGTAGAAAAGGCGCTGCTGGTACAATGCTGCCGGAATCATCGAGCCTTGATTAACATTAAGATAGGAACGTCTAAAATCTGGCGTTTATGAGTCTACTTATCAATTTTCCACATCGAAGTATGCACCTCTGTTTGAGGTACGCTTACTTTTGCTCGTGCGAATGTTGGCATAAACAGACTTTTTCGACAGGAAACAATTTCTGCATCAGCTGAAAGGTCTGAGTCACCGAATGTCAAGAAGCGCCGACGTCGTCAGAAGGAGATAGAGTACGAGCAAGTCAGGTGTGATGAGAACGAACCGTTCTCCAGCGCTTGTTACTAAGCCAAACTAGGTCACTCATGTGAAAGTCAGTGTACTGTTTGATTTTGGGAAGACTTTTCAAAGAACGGATGACTACCCTAAGTAATAGCCGATTAACCTCCGTTCGGAAAGTAATGATATGGTTCGCGCCTCGTCGATTCGCTCGCGAAACCCTCGCGTTTTCGTCAGGACGTAGTGGCCACGTCGTCCGTTTCGCTTGAAGCCATGTAACTTTGAAGCATCAAGTTTTTCACGAATTTTCGCAAGGTAGAAACACCCGGGTGTAGATATGCCGTAATGGTCTGATAGTGCTACAATTCACAATGTATGTAGTATTTGGCGGTTCATGACTCGATCAAGGCTGGGGGACTCTCTGAACCCGTGATATATAAATCTTTCCACCCTATAAGGTGTGTGAAAATTCAGCTAAAAGTCACTCTCAAACTTTTGCAACTTTTTTCGCGTTTTCCTATCATTTTGGAGATGAAGCAAAATGGAAATCATCATGTTTCAGCGATTTTACGCAAATTCACACTGGGGAACTTGTGCCAGCGTACGCGCAAGCGTAAGCGTACGCGTAAGCTTTCCAGCGATGTGCGCATGCCTCGATATGATGCGACAACGCGTATAACAAAGCTCAGTCTCATCACTTTCCGAATGGAGGTTAGTACAACCAGTCACGTTCTTTCTGAAGAATGTTTGTCCACGAGCTCATGAAACTTCTCAGCCGCGTGTTGCGCAGTGATCCAGAGCATATCTTTCGACTGGTAGAAGCTTGCTCGCATCAAACGATGCAACAGGTTGTATCTCCTCGCGATAAGAAGTTTCATCGCGGGTCCTGAATTCCTGGTCTGCTTGTGGATTACTCGCACTGATACCTTCTGCAGATACTTCGTGACTTGTTTGACCTTTTCCAAACATGCACACTTTCACATCAGTAGAGACAAGCGTTCCTGTATTAAAATTGCCCAGTTGAATTGCCATAGAATCTAACTCTCGTTTCTGAATCGCTTTCTGGAGAATACTCTCTTCTATAGTCCCCTCACCTATAAGACGGTAAATGTGCACATCTCGCGTTTGACCTATACGGTGGCAGCGATCTTGTGCTTGTTGATCCATGGCAGGGTTCCAATCCGAATCGTAGAAGATGACAGTATCGGCACCCGTTAAGTTGATACCAAACCCCCCGGATCGCGTAGATAAGATGAAAATAAAGATTCGGTCATCACCGTTGAACCTTTGAGTGAGTAGCTGACGCTGCTCTGTGCTCGTGCTGCCATCAAGGCGACAGTAACTGTATCCGTGTAAGTTTAAGAACGACTCGAGGATATCAAGCATCCTCGTCATCTGTGTAAATATCAACACCTTGTGATTTCCTTGCTTCAATGTGCGGAGAAGAGTGGCTAAGACTTGAAGTTTACCACAGTCAAACTGCACGAGCTGCTTATCAGGAAAGAACATACTTTGCCTTATAATGGATTTTCGTAAAGGAGCAAGAAGTCTTAAGATATTTTCATCCATGTATCTGCTAGCACGCGGATGTAAATCTCGAGAAGTCTCCCAGAAAACAGTCGGGGATGTTGTTCTCACTCGTGGAATGAGGAATGTGAATGGGAGTGAACCATCGTGCAAGTGCGAATGCAGCGCAACTCTGCACTCACGAGAGTACGATGTCTCCTTGTCATTTGCGTGCAAACATTTCGTACTACGAACCATACTATCATCGTTTCGAATCACATCCACTTGAGTGCAGTGCCGAGATGCATTGCGTCGAACTTGAAACTTCATGCGCAACCTGGACAGTGATGACAGAATTTGTTTAGCACACGGTTCTTTCATACATGGCACTTCATCAGTCATGCCATAGCTTCGCATATCTTGCAATACGCATTCGGCTCTGTCGCATTCGTCCCGGCCCTCAGAAGCTGTTTTCTCGAGGTGAACTCCTGAAATACGAGGGGCTGAGTGCGAGAGATGTGCGAAATAAGCAAACGGCGATAGCTTGTCCACGTGTGTCATATCATAGGCGCTACAAATCTGCCGCCCGGCGAACAGATCCGGATGGTTACAAACTTTCCGAAGTTGCACCAGACAGTTCATCATGCCCATCACGTTCCCGCTAGAAAGAGTCCTCATGGTGCTACTAGAAGAAATATACTCCTCATATAGACGTCGCTGACGTCTGGATAGCACACACTTGACAATGTGCTCTCGTTTCTCTGGCAGTGACTTTTCCACGTCTGATTTCAGTCGGCGTAGAATGAATGGCCGAAGAATGGAATGTAGACGCGTGACAATCGTCTCATTAACCACCTGAGTGCCATCCGCCATCGCACTCATAGGATTTGCAAACCAGTCTTTGAACTCCGAATGCGAAGTGAACAATTCAGGCATAAGGAAGTGCATGAGTGCCCATAGTTCCATCAATTCATTTTGAAGAGGGGTGCCTGTAATCAAAAGTCGATGTTTCGTGCTGAAGTTAAGTAGTACTTGCCATCTTTGTGATTGCCAGTTCTTTATCATGTGCGCTTCGTCCAAAATTAGATACTCCCAATTTTTCCGACGAAATATAACTTGATCCTGCGTTACTATTTTGTATGATGTTATGCAAACGTGAAAACTATTGGGTTTAGTCCAACCATGTCGCTTCAAACGTCTCTCTTTCACTGACCCAAAATAAGTGAAGACTTTCAGCGCTGGGCACCACTTCTTGAACTCAACTTCCCAGTTGAGCATCACAGACGTTGGCACCACTATCAAGTGTGGGCCCCAGTTTCCAAATTCACTAGCGAGCGTAGATAAAAGGGCGATCGTCTGTATAGTCTTTCCTAGACCCATTTCATCGGCTAAAAGGACGTTCAGCCCACTAATGTATGAATGTGTGAGCCATTTAACACCATCAAGCTGGTAATCACGCAAGGTATACTTCAGAAGAGGGAATCTTAGAGCCTCGCCTGATGTATTTCCGTCAGCAACCATGGTTTTCTTCGCGCTGGAAACCGTTGAAGTATCGTTGTACTGCGAATCGCGTACTGAATGCTCACCAATAAGATTCTGAGGCTTAAATGAGGTAGAATGACTCAGTCTCTCCGCGAGCTGTGAGGAATAAGATTCCGTAACTTTGACGAGATCATCTGTCATGATGTGAGATAAGAACGCATCCACACTTCTAGAAAGTCAACGTACCTAACTGAGCGTCAAGTTGAAGTTTTTCCGTGTGTGCTGCAACTACTTGACGTTGCAATGTGAGCACCTGAGCTTTTGTTGAGAAGTGAACATAACTAATTTGAAGTTCGGTATACCTTTTCGACTTTGTTCCAAAAGCTAATTATCATGTTCGAAATTGCTTTTGCAGCTCTGCGAGTGCTCGTTATGTCTTTAACTTGACCACGCTTCGTCTGTGCATTTCGGGAATGGTGTGCCACCAACAAAGTTGCAATCTTTGAAGCCGTTCGCCTCCTGGCTTATTACTCAGACGCTGGTTACGACATAACTCCACTGTTACTTACCTCCATTTTCGCTCTCTCGAAAAGTCTCCTGATAGCCAGGTCATCTCTTCAACCACGTGCTGCCAGTGACACTTATTTGGTATGGGTTCAGGGAAATGTGGAAGTGGCTTCGTCGGTTTTATCTTGCTCTCAAGTGACTGGTAGCGTAAAATGATACCATCTTCATCGGCCAGGTGCGAAGCGGCAGAAAGTACGTGTTCCTGCATTTCGCCTGTGCGTAGCTCGAGTAGAGATACAGTCTTGGCGCTTAAAGGAGTGTGTCCAAGAGCAACTACGTCAGCAGTTTCGCTGTCAGCCTTCGGTGTAATGTCCCGATGTGATCCAATACCATAACGTAACAAAAGTTGGTCCAATGGGAGTTCGCTTTCCGCTTCTAGCTCTTTAAGCTCCATTTTTTGTTCATCGCGATCGGCATAAGCCGCCTGCAAGAACGTGAGCTTGTAAACGAGGTAACAAACAGCCCGTGAGACGCACCTCTTCGTTGAAGGTTTCTAAATCATCATCGGTATCGAGAGCAGGTACGAATTCATTGTCGTTCACGACATCAGGTGCCTTTCGACGGCGGGAAACCTTTTGCTCCATCGCGTCTTCGTCTCTAGAACGGCGTGTGCCAACCAACGTATTGTAGGCCTGCTGCACCTGGTACGTAGTACGTACTGATACTGTATCAGCGTGTCAACCTATCAGACTACTTGTATGGGCAAACAGTTTAAAATCACCGAGTTTTTATACGTATCAGGAAATTCCTGACATATGCCATGTTTTGTTCGGATTATTGCAGGCTAAATACGTCTATGTAGCCTTCCCGAGTCAAGGCGGAGTTGACAGGCAATAAATTAGGGATGCTTGAAATGCGTATAGGGTCCTATTGTCACCATACCCGAAGAGTGTAACTCGAGGGTCGGTGACCCTCCCGCGGTATATGGATTTTGACACGGCGCACACGACGAGTCGTGAATCGACCTCTTTTGGGGGCTCTAAAATCCCGGCGAGGGGGTACGCGAGAGAAACGCGAGTCACGACCCGTCGAAGACCCCTCGTTGACGCGACGAGTCGCGATGCGTTTGGGAGCTGATTTTCTGGACCCGCGCGCGACGACGGCGACGACGCGAGCGCGAGCGCGGACGCGGACGCGAACGGTTTCGTCTGCCGATCGCGCGCGCGCGCGTCGCGGCGTCGTAAGGAGGCGCGACGCTGGGGCGAGCAATATTGACCGTAAACCCTATTTTCTAGGGTTTAGAATACACGGCGCGAGTTCACGCCGCGGATCGATTCGTCGACGTTTTTTCACTTTCCTCTCCAAATTTGAGCGATTTTCGTCGCGATTCGGCGTCGCAACGCGCGTTAAGGTGCAAATTGATGTGATTGCATGCGATGTGATTCATCGATTGGTCTCCACAGTGCGACCGCTCGAGCGTCGACGGCGCGCGCGAGATTCGCGGTAACGACGGAAGACGTTCGCGCGTTCGAGAACTCCGCGTCAGGCGATCGAGCAAGCTGTCGTGCGGGGCAGCGTGACCGATTTTTGACGTATCTCCAGGTGGCATCGTGAATGCATCTTTAGTGACCGATGCAGTTGAATTGCGCAACATCTTCACCCTACCTGCCTCGACGCCGCACGAACGTTGTAAACAGTGACGACAGCAATCACTGCCGATCTCGCCGTCTGAAAGCGTCTACAGCGTTCTCCGTCGTCCAAAAACTACCTTTTCCCATACATTTTTGAAAAAAATTTCTGCGGCTCGGAAATTGCTCGATTTTACCGAAATTTGCCGCGCGCCGCGCGTCGTCGAACCGCTACCGCGAGCGTTGCAACGAGAGGTATGAACCAACGGCACTTTAATGCTCACAACGCGCCCTCGAGTGACCGCTCAGACGGCGCCAGCGCGCGGGTCCATAATTCCGGTTCCTGACTCGTCAATACATACATTGTTCACGTCACGGCCATTAAAGGCAATGTATTTAACATCGTATGGTGACCACGCGCCAGCGCTTACTTGTCTAGGTTGGGTAAAATCACGATCACGATCTGAATCACGACCCGAAACTTCGTGATTCAAATCACGATCACGACCCATACATCGTGATTTACCCAACCTAGGACCCATACATCGTGATTTTCCCAACCTAGGACCCATACATCGTGACTCCACCAACCTAGACTCACACTCTTCGCACGACCCGCGCCAACCCTACTTGCACCGTGCAAGTTGCACGGAAACACGAAAGCTCTGCGGTGACTAGCTCTTCGTGGACCAGGACTGCGCACCGCGCTACCGCCATTCCAGCTCCACTTTCTGTACGCTTAAGACTGGCGTAAAAAAGCTGGTTAGAACGTAGCAGCGTGATGGAACAAGTTGCGTGTGCTTCAACCCGCTTGCTTTGGCGAAATAGACTGCTTCGTTCGAGCTGCTTCGGAAGACGAACGCAACCTAAAGGGCGTGCACAGACACACCAGGGATCTACTAGGGCTCCCCGCGGGCGATGCTTTGCGACGGGCGGTTATGAGCGCACTCAGCGGACATTAATTGGTTGCATCAAGGAGTCCCTTGAGTCAGCAGTTCGTGATAAATTTTCGGACTATCTGGAGACAGTCGACATCACTGAGTGCGCGAACCCCTCTCTTGGCGACTATCAGTGCAGCAGTGCTATGCAAATATTTTCGGCTCTCAGAAAAGCAGGAGAAACGGACTTTTGTAACCCGCGGGAAGTTGCTGCTGTCATCGTGGATGGTATATCCGATACAACTACGTTTGACTCAATAACTATAGCTGGAGCGGGATTCATAAACTTCAAGTTATCTGATCACTTCATTCTTACACGTTTGCGAGAGTTAGGGAAAACCGTCAAGCCGACGTCTTCAGGTGAGTCGGGTTCTGTCCTGGTAGACTTCTCTTCTCCGAATATTGCGAAAGAGATGCACGTAGGTCATCTTCGTAGTACGATCATCGGTGACGCCCTTTGCAACGTGTTCGAGTTCTGCGGCTTGAAGACAATTCGATTGAATCACGTGGGAGACTGGGGCACGCAGTTCGGGATGCTCATCCAGTTCATGACAGATAACAAGGTATCACCAGATTCTGCTGTAAGTGACCTTCAAGAATGTTACAAGCGAGCGAAGGAACGGTTTGATCAAGATGACGACTTCAAGTCTCAGTCAAAGCAGGCAGTTATCAAACTACAGTCTTACGATGCCGATGCCTTGCGCACCTGGAAGCAGATATGTGACGCAAGCCGGGCCGAATTCCAGACCATTTATGATCGACTCAATATCAGTATAATAGAAAGGGGTGAGAGCTATTACAATGATATGATTCCAGCAGTGCTCGATGAACTTGTCGCAAAGAACGTTGTAGTTGAAGATGCTGGAGCTTTATGTATCTTCGATGATGATCACGCAGAAGCTCCTGTGATCTGTCGAAAAAGTGATGGTGGATTTAATTATGCCTCTACTGACTTGGCGGCGATAAGACATAGAGCGCTAGAAGAAAAGGTCGATAGAATCATTTACGTGACAGACCAAGGCCAGCAAAAGCACTTCAGAGCTATTTTTAAAACAGCACATGCAGCTGGCTGGGGGCACGGGGGCGTAGTCTTCGAGCATGTTGGATTTGGAGTTGTTCTGGGCGAAGATGGTAAACGACTCCGCACTAGATCTGGTGAGACAGTTAAGCTGAAATCTTTGCTAGATGAAGCGGAGGAAAGGTGTTTACAATTCTTGAAGGAAAAAGGAACAGACCTTTCGGCGGAGGAGCTGAGCACGGCTTCAAGAATACTAGGAGTGAGCTCAGTGAAGTATGCTGATCTCCATAATAACAGGCTTACGGCATACACATTCTCTTTTGATCGGATGCTGGACTTGAAGGGCAATACGGCGATGTACTTGCAGTACTCTCACGCGCGAGTCGCCACAATTTTACGCAAAGCGCCGACTCTTGATCTGCCGCTCGACGGTTTGCACTTTGAGAATGCAGCAGAGCGTCTACTTGCAGTTCATCTTATCAAACTCGACGATGTGCTAGCGGCGACAATGAAAGAGCTTGCTCCTTCGAAGATATGCGATTATTTATACACTTTGTGTACAATGTTCAATAATTTCTATGCAGAGTGCAAAGTCATAGGTGGAGAAAATGAGGCGAGTAGACTCTTTCTTTGTATGAGGACTGCTGCGACGATGAAGATTGCTTTCTCTTTGCTGGGGATGGAACCTTTGGAAAGACTGTAGTTCCACACGGATGCAAAACGGTCAGAACGACACAAAAGTGACTCTGCGTGACACTCACCTATCTCTTCGCTCGTTTATGCCTCGAACTCGCCTTAAGTGCATATATTATAATGCATAGTTGAGGAAATCATGAGAGACACGCGTACCTGAGACTCATCCTCCAACTTCCCCCCAGCACTACCAGTTTCCAAGGCCTGGGCCGCTATTTCTCGAATTCGCTTTTCTCGTGATACTTGTTCCTGTTGTTTAAGTTGCTTGCGCACGCCCGCACGAGTCTCAACTGAGATACGTGCCGACTGCTCAGCGACGTATAATGCCTATGTATACATTAGGTGAGTTTCAAAAGCGCTCATAAGTGGACCCACCTCTGTAAATTTGGCAAAGTTGTCACTTATTTTGACATCAACCAATCCTCTACCATCTGCAGCTAGACGCTTGTCGAGTGGAATCGTGTAACCTTTTGAATTCTGCAAACAAACCTTAGAAGAAGAGTAAGTAAGAAACTAGATTCACGCACTTTCCAGTTAGAAACAGATGAAGGGATCTTCCATGCTTCTCTATCTTCCTCAGTAAGCTTGCGTGGAGGACTCTGAGTGACTGCTGCTATAGCTTTATTCGGCTCCCCTGGGTCCTTCGATTGAATATCGTGAGACAGCGCGTGCATAAATGATGGTCGACGATACCTTTTTCAATCGGAATGGTGGTGGATTGAGAGGGTCTTGTTGCAACTGCTGGACTTTGACAACACGCTCTTTAGATCCAGTTGGCTCATATTTTATGTATCGTGATTCTGCGGAATGAGTTTGGATCAAATTTTGATTTCCCGGAAGTAAACGCCTCCGTATCGCATCACGAACTTGCTTGTTCTCTAGTTCCAGTGTTTTGGGTGTGGACAACTATCGAGTTTCAGACTGTCAGAAAAACCGAAAAGGTTCTAGCACATATGGTATAGGTATAACGTACTTTTTCCCGTCTCAGGTTCGTTTCATTCTGTTGGAGCGAAACTTGGCGTTTATGTTCCGTTAGCGCATTGCGAAAGCTTGTCGATTCTAGTCGTCGATCGTCCCTTGCGAAGCGTTCGTCGAGTGCTTCGGCGGCGAACTTCTCCGGGTAAGCACCACAGTCACCAAGAGCTGGCTGTTGTCTACGTGCACGAATATCGCCGTAGAGCGCAAGGTAACTTGACATGTCTTCCCGAAACACACACGGAGGTGCGAACTATTAATTTGACGCGGCACAGTCAGTAACGGAGAAACTGTACCGCGTAGCACAGCTGACTTCACGTGGACTTTACCGGCGGCTAGGGGTGCTTGAATCCTGTATCAGCCGATTTTCTCGTACGTACCGAATGCACCAGCCGAGTGTCCGATCGCCCAAATCGTATGGGCAAGCAGTTTCGACCAGCTGGTACAAGCTGGTACGAGCTGGACCAGCTCGTAGGACTGCTTAAATGGTGCTAAAATGGTAAACTGCTAAAATGGTATCAGGAATTTCCTGATACGTATCAGCGTACTGGTACGCACCAGCCGAGTCCGAACGCGCTAATCATATCGGTAAACAGTATTGACCGACTGATACGAGCTGGTACTAGCTGGTACGGAGGTGACGAATCGACGAGAACCGCGCGAGAACCGACCATTTCGCGCGCTAAGTCTATCTATCGATTCAATCTTCTATGTTTACTACGTGTCTCTTTCTCTTGACGCTCTAATGCCTTGCGAGCTGCCTTCTGTGCAAAAGTTACGTTTGCCTTGTCCCGAGCGGGATGTGAGTCATCATCCTGTACCTGCATGTTTTCATCGAGGTTGCCTACACGTGTCATTTCCGTTCGATTCGAAACGTTTGCGTGTGGGGACATGGCTCGCTCGTCTGTGTCTTTGACGTACTGGTCCACATGCTCGTCATCTGGCGAGAGGATTTCGTCGTCTCTGATTCCATCATCATCACCATCGCTGTCAGCACCTACCACGGCACCGACGGCTACTTCACTTTCTTCTACCTCGCACGTCTCTGATGTCGAATGTGTGCTTCGCGGGGCTGATACGTGGCTCTTCCTCCCTCTTCGACGTTGTCAAGCGCTCGAGGAAGGGAAGCTTCTTGAGCACCCGCTTCCTCTTGTTCCATGCATCATCGAATTTCGCCTGATCATCGCGCAGCGCGCGCTGCGCGCGCCGTTTTCCGCTTCGCCGTCTTCGCTCATCACCGCGACGCCCGCTTCGTCGACGCCCGCTTCGCGCGCGCTTGACATCGAGCGTCGACGACTACCGCGCGCAAGTACGTGCGCGAGTGCTCAGCCGTGAGAATTCAGATTCAAACTCGCGCGAACCCGTCAACGCCTAAACCCCGGTCGCACCCCCTCGCCCGCGCGCGCGTCGTTCGTCTCTTCTTTGTGCTATTTTCACGCCGTTTGGGCGCGGCGTCGCGCCGCTGTGGCGTCACAGAGCGCAACCTCACATATTGAGAGCTCAAAAGTGACCTGTATCGGGAATTTCCTGATACGTATCAGAATCGACGATTTTCATACTGTTTGCCCATACGAAAAGTCTGATACGTTGATACGCTAATACGGTATCAGTACGTATCAGGCCAAGCAGGCCTAACGCGCGTTTTCGGGATGTATTTGTGCGTTTCTGGGAGCGCACCGACGACAGTACGCGACGTCTCACCCTCGCGCGCGCGCCCTCGATGACGCGCGCGATGGACGTGAACGGTCCGTCGACGTCGCACGCGCGCGCGCATCCCTCCGATGGCGCGTTCGTGACGTTTTTATCGACGCTGAAGGATGACTCTCTGGACGAACTGTACGAGTCATCCGTCTGGGCGGTGCTCGCGGCGTTACGCGCGTGCGACGCAATCGGGAAGCAGATCGTGCTCCGGTTATCGTTCGTGAGCGGTGGCTCGATCGCTGGTGCGGAACTCGAGCGGTGGATCGCGGACGGCGACGCGGGACGGCGAGCGACGGCGCGGGCGTTGGGACGGTTGTCGCGCGTCCGAGCGATCGAGCGCGTCGTCGACGGAGGTGAAGCGAGGGAAGCGAACGCGATGGAGGTCGATGTTGGGACGCGTGGACGCGATTTTGAGGAGGATTTGGAGCGCGGGTCGTTCGTGGGAACGATTCGCGTGCGGCCGGCGTTCGCCGCGCACGTTCGAAGAGCGCTCGAGCGCGGATTCGTCGGTTTAGATGCCGACGGTGGCGGTGCAGAGGGCGGTGACGATGTGGTAGAGCTTGAGGTGGAAAAGAAGGTTCCCGATCGAGCGACGCTGAGCGCGTACGCGAAGAGTAAGTGGGAGGATTTGTTGTTGACGCTCACGGGGGCATCGGACGCGTTTTCCAAACCTGGGTCAAAGGTGAGCGGACGACTGGACGCGCAGGCTTTGTTTCGCGCGGCGGGACTCACGACATCAGACGCGTCGGGGGATAAGAAGGCGCGGAAGCGAAACGCCGGCGTCACCGCGGAGGGATTCAGATTCTTGCTCACCACGGCGCAGGAGCAGGTTTGGGTTCTGTTAACGCAATACATTCGCGACGAGTCGCGCACGGCGTCGGCGACGAGCGCGATTAGTTTTCTGCTTCGTCTGACATTTCAGCGACCGGGACGGGCGTATGCTATGACGGGTGTGCTGAGTGACACCGAACAAGACGTCGTGCGCGATCTCACGCATCTCGGATTGCTCTACACCTTTGACGTGAAGAAGCGATGGTATTACGTCCCAACGCTCCTCTCGAGCGGGCTCTCCGGCGGTTTCGCCTCGGATGACGGCGACAATCGAGCTATGGTAAGCGCTGAGGGACATGTCATCGTCGAAACGAACTATCGCGTGTACGCATATACGAGCTCGTTGGTGGAGATGGAGATCTTACGCCTGTTCACGCGCGCCGATTATCGCCTGCCGAACCTGTACGTGGGTATGCTCACGCGCGAGAGCGTGCAAAATGCCCTTCGTGCGGGCGTCGACGCAGAACAGATCGTTGCGTACCTTCGGGCGCACGCGCATAAACAGGTGCGGAAAAAGAAACCGAGCGTTCCGGGCACGGTGTGCGATCAAATCAGGCTCTGGGCTCGCGATATGATGCGAGTGCGATCGGATGAGTGCGTGCTCTACTGCGATTTCCCACCCGTGGGTGGTTTTTACAACGCCGTCGTCGCCGAAGCCACAAAACGGGGGGCGCTATTATGGCGCGATGACATCGGTAGAAAGCTCACCGTGCGCGCGGATGCGCACGAGGCAATGAAACCCGTCGTCGCCGCATTGAAGCAGTCTTTGGGCGACACGTGATCCGCAATTGAAATGAAACGGTTAACGGTATGGATTGACACCATCATCGGTGCGCTTTTCGTTACAACTTACGACATCAGGGCCTAAACGAATGAAATTATGCGTGCGGTTTCATTAAACGACGACTCTACTTCCTTGAAATCGACGCGCTTTGCTCTTGCTTTTCGTCGCGACGTTCATCTTCATCTTAATCATTTTTCTCCCTACTCTTTCGCCGGAGCAGGGGATGACGCTCGAGCTGGTAGCGCTATTTGCGCCTGTAACGGCAAGTGGTCGCTCGGGAACCCGTGCGTAGGCAAACCGGTCTCGCTCGGGATGTCGCTTTCGCTCGGGAGCTTGGCGACGCTAACGACCTTGGCCCCGCGATGAGCCGAGTATAAGATGTAATCAATCGTGTGCTTCACCTCGCCCGTCTTGAACAACCCCGTTCGCGTCTTCCAGGTCGTAAACTTATTCGCGTCTTCGTCGCCGGACGCCGTGGTGATGTCCTTGTATGCGTCTCGCATCCCTCGTCCCCTGAGGTGCACGACACACGCCTCATTCGGTGTCGCGTTTAAGTCTCCAGCAATGATGATCTGTACGTTATCCACGTCCGCACACAGATTCGTGGCGAACGCATTCAGGTGTCTACACAGCTCTTTCGTTTGCTCGAGCCTGGTGATTATGCCGTCGACGTTTTTAGACGAATCGAGATGCGTCGTGACGACGATGACCTCCTGGAGGTCGACACCAGAGAACACGGGCTTGGCGTTGCCCCTGATGAGCGTGCCGAGCGTGTTTCGAATCGTGCCCTCTGTTTTTGGGTCTCGCTTCAATCTGAACCGCGCCATGAGCGTTTTGCCGGCGTCCTGCGCCGGATCTTCCTTTCTCGCCCGCGGCGCGCCCGGCGCGTGCGACGACAACAATTCCAATCGATCCGTCTTGTAAAATATCGCCACCCCATCGCACGGCGCCTCGAATTTTCGACACGGCGACCACTGGTCTTCCTTGTAAATCCCAGCGTAGCCCAGCTTTCTCAACTCGGGCTCGAAAAAGTCATAGTAATGATCCACCTCTTGGAGGCACACGACGTCCGGAGACGTCGTCGAGTCCCCCGTCGTGATCGTCTTGATCAAATCTTTCCCTCGCTTATCAAAGTTCAAATCATACAGACGCTCTGCATTCTTCGGCGGTTCTTCGCCATCAAACGCGTAGTAGGACGACGCGAAGGAATCGTTCGCCGCGAGCGCGTCGGCGAGACAATTCAGCTGCAGCACGCGCACCGAGGCGTATTT